GATGCCAAACGGAGCCAATATTCCTTAGTACATTGTCATAATTTTATTTTGGAAATAACAATATAATAGTAAAACTATATGGATAAGAGTTTAGTTTTATTTCGATTTTGGATTTACTAATTGTGTCTAGTTTTGACTATGATGTTTTAAGCAGATCAAATCAGATCAGATTAAAACTTATTTCAATAGCTGGGCCGCCTTACTGAAGTTGGGAATGAACCCGCTTGGGCCGGTGCTATTTGGTCAGGTCCTCTATCTGTTAGATCTCAATGTGAGACTCTCAAGTGGGCTCCTTCTTAGATTTCGCTTCTGATTGCCTCTCTTCCTTCCCTCTTCACCCATTAGCCCAATACTCAAGGCGGCAAGAGGGCGCCCGGGAGCACGGCGGCCGACGGACGACGCAGCGGCGGTAAGATAGCTCTGTGATATATTGTACTCCGTACTAATTTATTTGCATCCTTCAACTATAACAGAGGCTGGTTTTTACTTTGTATCCATCCTTCTCCCAACTTGAAGGTTCTAGGGTTTTGTCAGTTCTGTACGCTCCTAAAACCTCTGTGATCTCGCAATGGGAAAAGCTAAGAATCCAGTCAAATTTGCCTCCATGAAGAGGGTAGTCACCCAAAAGGCTATCAAGCAGTTAGCCCTCTGCCTCTTATTCTATAAGTATGATTTTTGTCAACTTGTTCTCTTTTGATTTGTTTTTTAATTAATCTCTTTCAGACATAAAGAGGAAGTTTTGAACCCAAAAAAGAAAGATTTGAGCAAAGAGAGGCTTCCACGGAATGTGTAGGGATCTCTGTTCCATATATTCTGGTTATTTCTTATCTTTGGTGTTGAGATTTTAGAAAGAATTCAATATTTGTTGCAGGCCTTATGTTTCTTCCGCGCTTTTCTTCAAGTACAACACTGCATTGGGACCCCCATACAGAGTGTTGGTTGATACCAACTTCATCAATTTCTCCATTCAGAACAAGGTAGGTCTTTGAGTTTTGCTATTCTAAGTCAATTGTGCTTATTTGGGATCAAGACTGGACTACTTGGTTTTTGTTAGAGTTTTTTTTCTGGTTGTTGTTGGTGTTATGAGAATGAATTTTAGAGTTTTAACCAGAAGCCATGTTTATCTAATGGATTTAAAATTCGCGTTACAGTTGGATTTGGAGAAAGGAATGTTGGACTGCTTGTATGCCAAATGTAAGTAACTGGTCCTTGGTTCAGCTCTGTTCTCTATTTGGCACAGTTTGTTTTAGGGTCAATAACCAAAAATATCCCAACTTTTGACTGTTACACTATTCTAGTTCATACCTTCACTAATTACATATACATGCACATTCCTCTAATTTGGCTTCTGAAATTCATTTAGGCACCTGTTTAAGTTTCATGCGGTGGCTGCCAAATAAAAAATGCACATGCTACAATGCCCCTCTAGTTTAACTCTATGGATGACAGCAGTTTATGAATTGTTGGCAACCTTCTATCTTAACAAATTCACACACGGTTGTCTTTCGTGGTTTCTAACTTGGGAGCATGGAAGCTTTTTCCAATAAAAAATGATCCCTTTAGTCGAAATAGAAGATGTAGAATAACTAAAACACTGTAGTTGAAGTCCTAGACCTGTTTCAGTTAAAGATTTTGTTTTGCGAAGGAAGGTCAGTTAGGGAACGTAGAGCCTCAGTTACACACCTTATCCTCTCTCCTCCATCTCTGCAATAGACTGTAATTTCCATTTCTGATTAGCGACAGCTGCAAAGCTACTGGTATGTGTGTGCTAGAAAATTGAAAAAGTTGAAAGTTAGGATTTTTTGGGGTAATTAACTCTTTATTTTATTGCACTGCTTGTAGTCCTAAAAGTAGTCTACTGTTTGCTTGGTTTAGTGCATTCTCCAACTTACCTCTTATTTATTGCGAGATTCATATAACTGTATTGGTGTTTTCATATTCCCTCGTAATGGGAACTTAAACTCATTTTTTTTCATTTGGTTGTTCCCTTAGGCACTCCTTGTATAACAGATTGTGTGATGGCTGAACTTGAGAAGTTAGGTCAAAAGTATCGTGTTGCCCTCAGGTATCTTATCAGTCTATTTTTAATACATTCACAAACTTATTTTTTTGGTGAAAATTAGAATACTACTTAAATAATCTAAATGATCAGAGTTTCACTCAACAATTCATTGGTTAAGTGGTAAGAGAAGTTGCATATAAGAAGAAATCAAAGATGAGCTATTTTGGGCATTATTGATTCCACTTGTAATGAAAGATAAATTGAGGGTGTTTAGTGTTGCTTAGCGCTTTGGAAAATTGACTCTTTCAACATAGAAACAAAACTTGCATCTCAGAGTTTTTTCTCAGTCTTTGCCAGAAAGCTGAGAATCGGTCACCCGAAGCACTTCCAAATGCCCTCATTGATAATATTTGGTACACAATTTGTTTTTTTCGTGCTAATTGATCTTCTCCTTCATGTATTGTACTTTTCTCCCCACCACACAATAGAATTGCTAAGGACCCTCGATTTGAAAGGCTTCCTTGTACTCATAAAGGAACTTATGCTGATGACTGCCTTGTTGAAAGGGTTACTCAGGTTTATTTCCTTCTATTTCTTAGTAAATCTTGCACTCTTTTTTCTAAGGTTTTGTTATGTTTGATTGTGTGATTCTTTGCCCATTTGGTTTGAATAGCATAAGTGCTATATTGTTGCAACATGCGATCGAGATTTGAAGCGGAGGATCCGCAAGGTAAGCAGTAACATGCAATTGTTGGCCTCTGGTTGCTCCTTTTTTTCTTGTAATGTGATTTTTTAAAATTTGGTTTGTTGTTCCATATTTAGATCCCGGGTGTACCGATCATGTACATCACACAACGCAAATACTCTATTGAACGGATGCCTGAAGCAACAATCGGCGGGGGTAAGATTAAAATCCCTCCTTTTGTTAAAAAGAGTTCTCACTTTTCTCTTTCGTTTGTTCCAAAAGAAACTTCATTCTTTTTTTTTCCATTAAAGGAAGTTAGTGATTGCCTTACAACACCTCTCTCCTATAAACAATTTTCATCTACAAATTTTACTTCCCGATAACTTTTTTACACTCCGTGAATTCAGATTAGAATTTTCTTTTGGGGATGAAGGGATTGGAGGGAGTAGATGTTCTTTCCCCATTGTTTTTTTATTAATCATCTGTCACCTTATGCAGCTCCAAGATCTTGATGGGAATGATAATTTTAGTCAATCTAGCTCTGGACTGCTATACATGAAACATGTTCCAGTGAATTTAGCTACAATCTCTAACAATTTGGTTTGGTCCTTAATTGCAACACTATATATGTTGTGCCATCTGACTTTACAGTTTTGGTTCATTTGTGTTTATAATTGGATTGCTACATAATCATGTTTTGGAGATTAGATTTTGACTCGTGTGTTGCACGGAGCACAAAGAAATCTTCAAAAAATGTAATATTGAGGTCTCGTTTGGCATCAGCTTCAGCGTTTTGAAAATGCTTTCTATGCAATGGTAGTTCTTAGCGTTAGTAATTTGCACCGTTAAAAAGTTAATCTTGTGTTGGATGTGTTAAATTGGTGATTTTGCCATACAGCTCTTTTTTCTTTTTTACAAATGGATGTGTTTGCATATTTTAACTAAAGTACTAAATCAAAATTAAACAATACTCCCTCCTTCCGTCTTGAGGACAATAAATGTTTGATTTTTTTATGGTCTTAGTGCAATACTTTTAAGAGTTACTTCTTTTCTCCCAATTTATAGTGTTTGTTTATTATTTATAAAGTTAAATTTTATTTATTTTCTTTCTCTATTTTTGTTAGCATTTTAATAAAATAAAGTACTATCGTCACTATTAGTTTTGTACTACCTTCGTCCCATTTTAAATTGCCTGTTTGCCTTTTTTTCCGTCCCAAAATAAGTTGTCTGTTAGTTGTTTTCGTAAACTTTTAAAAATAAAATACCTAAACCACCTCTAAAATAAGTCAATCATCTCCACATTATATTCTCATTCATCATCATCCCTCTTAAAAAGTATTGACAATTTCGAAAAATCAACTCTATTTTTAATTTTCCTTAAATATGTCCAAAAGTCAAAACAGGCGATTTAAAACGGGACGGAGGAGTAGATCTTTTAATGTAGTATTTTAATATGTAATTTTTATTTTTTAACTCTATATCATTTGTCATATAAAATAATTTGAAAATAATTTCAGTCAAACATCGTAAACTAGAACATGCACTATAAATTAGGACGGGGGAGTAATAAGGAGTATCATAAGAATAAGATAATTCAATTCATATTTCTAAATTAATCTAGTGATTTTAAATCAAATTATAGATGGGGACAAAGGAGGTATGATATAGGAGTAGTACATAGAGTTAAATAGCTTAATAAAACAAGGAAAACTCCGTATTACGGAGTATGTTTTTAATAGCATAAAAATTACTAATGGCAATTTGTTTTTAAAATTGATCATTATAAAACACATCGTAGGAGGTGATTATAGTATGTTTTGGACCGACAATATTCGCCTTTTTTCTTTGGTAACGAGATACGAGGGTACAAAAATGTGTATAATACAAAATCCAATGGCATATATTCTTGGTTCCGTTGCCAGACATTTAAAGGGGTCTGGGTTGGGGGCAGGGTGGGGGTTAAGGGGTAAGAACCATCAACTTTACGAACGGGACACTGGAGGTGCTCCGAAAAGCCAGTGGCACCGTTGCCTTGTGACAACAGAAACAGCCCGATAATATTTATCAGAACCACATTACTTTTAATGTATGATAATATAAGGGGGGAAAGGAAAAGCTTAGAAAAAAACAAACAGATACTCCACCTGCTTAACAAGAAAACCAATTTGCAACATAACCTATGATCATCATGGAAGTATGTCAAGACAGACAGATAGACAACCTAGGAACACAAACATGACAGCAAGAAACAACAGATGACAAGGTAGGAACATAAATGAAGAACTAATTATATGTTTGAACCCTGGCAAGTCAACAAATTAAATCTTTTTATCGTCGTGAAAAAAGTGTGGATACAGACCCAGAGGGAGGCCGTACTTTACAGAATTATAAACATACAGCATAGACAAACTGAGAGGCTACGAAAAAACATCGACCTGTTGAAAATACACAATGTACAGCTCGCTTGCAACAATTAAGAACATAAGAATGGCACCATGGAAAACAAGAAACATGCTAAGGGCACCCCATATCTCACCCCAGACATACACAGACACCCGTTACTGTTCAATGTTCGTTTACCCGTTAGTGTTCAATGTTCGTGAGAAGGTTGGGGTGAAAGGTGAGGTGACCTTAACACTTTTTTCGAAAAAAGAAAAATAATACCCCCTGAAGTGTCAGTTAGTGTAACGTGGTGCGAGTTTTTCCTACACAATTCCCCCATGTCTGAATTCGCTGTCGCCGCAATCCGTTCCAGAGTCTAAGCCGCAGGGCGAGTCAAACCATTTGGGGTTTTCGTAGAAGTTTTCCACCACAAAGCCGACATCCGTGTCTATACTCTCGTCGTGCCTTATTAAGGGTTTGGCCAGTTTGGAATCAAGAAAGCTTTTCTCGTCAAACTCGATGCCTTTTCCAAGGTTTTGTTTGTCTGGCTTACAAGTCTGGCTTCCACAGCGAGTCCTCATTTGATCCCAGGAAGCAACTTCCCCTAGAGTTCTTCCAAAGCTGTCTTCATCTTCTTCAATGAACTCGGCTTCTTTTCCATCCACGTACAGCCTTTGATGGTGACCACCACCCCAATCTACCAAATCATTTTCCCCCACCAAGACATCAACCGAATCGTGTTTCTCGGAGACCAATCCAAGCCCAACTGACCTAGAGCCACACTCTCTAACATTTTTGAGCTTATTCACAATATCGAAAAGCTCTCGCGAAGCCGAACATAAAAGCTCGTGTGGAAGTTTCCCAATTTGCCCTTCAAGAAGCTCGATCTCATTTCTCGCTTCCTGCAATTGCTGCAGAACTGAGTGTTGGATATCCCCAAAATCCTCGTTATCTACTTCTTCTCTGACCCCATAAATTGTTTCTTGATCCATCATCAAAAAGCCTCCTTTATGCCCGACAACTCGATGCATGATCCTAGCATTCCCATCTGACGGACCCGGCTCGTGGCCCGAATGCACTGCATACAGCTTAAACACAGCCATCCCCTCTTCTTGGTACACAAAGGTCTTATCTTTCTCATTGTAGTTCGATATAGGGACAATAGCCCGAATACGGAATCCACACCCGCAACGTTTCGACACGTAAGGCTCCCTCTTCAAAAGCTTTGATTTTTTTGAGGACGCCGGCTCTCCCGCACGGTGACACGTGTAATCTTTAACCTCTGCCATGAAGGGCTTATACCTAATGTACTTTTGGCGTATACACAACACAACCTTATGTTTTGCAGCCAGCTGCTGTAATCTAGTGGGCACTTCTTTAGCTGGCACATCAATTGATTCAGTGTACTCAAACCTGCGCCGTTTGCCACGAGGGGCACACCCAGATGTTTCGTCTAGGCAAACGGGGCACGCAGACACACAAACCCTAATGTAACTCTCTGGGATGCCGTAAAATTTGGCACCCACAGTCCACATCTGTTTGATTCTTTCTAGGGTTTCTTTGGGCCCCAAGTGTTTAGATTCAGCATCAGAATGTAAATGGGAGACTATACCATGCCATTGATCAACATAGGAAACACATTGATTAGGATTGTTCTTGAAGTACAAGTATTCATTACCGGTAGAGTTGTCGACGTGCGCACTTAGCTTGTCCTGGATGCGCTTCCAGGCGGTTAGGTAGGCAGTGTCCTCGTTGCGGTCCTTCCAAACAGAGCGCCAGCTGACAAGCACGGAGGAGGGGTTGGCGGCACGGATTTCCTCTGGGGTGGCCGGACGGCCTTCCAGGAGGCAGCGGATCATCAGGGAGTGAGATTCCTTGTTGAAGGTGTAGAATTGGGAGGAAATGTGTGGGTCTGGGCTGATGTATGCGGGTTCATAAAGATGCCTCTTCTGGAGGCCGAAATTGGGGCTAGGGTTAGGGTTTCGGAAAATCGATCCGTCCAAATCCGATCGGTTCTGGGGCGGCGGTGGATTGGCGGAGGACTGAAATTGGTTCCGGCGGGTGAGGGGAAGCTCCGACTCCGATGAGGTGTGGCTGCCGTCCTCCTCCTCCTCGTCGTCGTCGTCGCGGAAGAGGACGAGGTCGTGGAAAGCGAAGGGCTCGTCTTCCTCCGCCGCGTGGTGGTCAATAAGCGGCGGCTGAGGTCGATTGAGCATGTGATGGTGGAAGATGTCCTCCTCGACCTTGCTCGGATTCATCTTTCCGGCAGCAACAGAGGATGAAAATCCCCCCAAAATCCAGTCTTTATTTATATCCTCACAGTGAGTGACTTCAGCTCAAAGCTATATGCGATCCTCTCCGACCCATCATCTCTGCTTCAGTGAATCGGTTGTTCGTGCGACGGGGCCGGTGATGGGCACTGTTCAGATGATCGGCGGTCGGGTTTCAGTACAGAAAGCAATGATTTGGGGAAAGAGTGTTGAAGGGGAGCATAACCATAGTACTTTGACTCTTGTGTTTCTTTTGGTTTGGTTTGGTTTGATTCTTGAGTAACCATATGGGCAGTTTGGGCACACTAAAGTACTCCATCCCAATGCCTCCCATAGTCCCATATAAAATTTATCCTCCTTTCTCAAAATAAATTCAATTAATTTTTTATTTTGAATATACACACTCCTTTCCAAATCTAAAACCAGAATTTAAATTGATTATTTTGGTTTACGATATTTGACTGAAATTATTTTTAATGAAATTTGTTAGAAAATTGATGTAGAATTAAAATAGAAAAATTACTCCTTATTATTCCTTATTTTCTAATGGTGTAAATTATCTCGACTAGTATATCGTTCTTAGTCAGGCAAGAATGATAAACAAGTCTAACAAAATACACCAAAATATAAACACAAGAACTTTGACGTGAAAACCCAATCGGGAGAAATCACGGGCCTTTTTTTGTGGTATCTTGCCAACGAGAGATTTTTATTAATATCAGGGGATCGTACACGTTACATGATTTGGGCTCGGAAGCCATTAATGGAAAGCTTAGAAGCTCTTGAAAAAGAAAATATGTAAGAAATCCATAGAGAGAAACATATAGGCAGGGGAGAGAGTGAAATTGGTTTCACCACATTGAAGGTAACTCCTTCTTTTATAGGAAGGAGGGAGAGCATCTTCGAACAAATAATCTTTATTCTTTTATTCTACTAAATAGATCCGGTTTGATTATTCATCCTAAATAATTGGGAAATGTAGGTCGAACCATATATTATTTCCCATCATTTTCTTATTAAAAAAATTCCTTTGTCTTAAATTAATCCTCCTTATTTCCGTTTTAGATTGTCCCATATTAATTCTTCACTTTCCATTTTTGGAAAGTTTTCTGTGGTTCACCTTTTTTTTCTCCTCTACATCATTTCAATCATATAATTTCAATTTTTTAAACTTCGTGTAAAGTTAAACTGTGACTCTTTGAGTATTAATTTGGAAAGAAAGGAGTAATCAAAAGTTCTACGAAATAAGATACGAGACAATATTATTTTATTAAATGAGTAACGAAAAGTACATTTGCCTTAGTCCACGATCTCTTCTTCTACTGAAGCCACCGCATTGACCACCTCTAGCCGGGGAAAGCCTATCGTCGCCGCCTCTTCTCCAATCACGAATCTTTATAATAATGTGAAGGTGATATTTTTACTTTTAAAAAAAAAAGTTGCAAATACTGTCAATTTGAAGTTTCCTGTATAAATTTTTATATGAATTTAATCTTTATCGTTTCATTTAAATTTTGAATTGAAATATTGAATATCATCTTTCAGTGGATTCCCTTTCTAATTACACTCCAATTCCCTTGACATTGCTTCATGGGATGACTCAGAGGTCGTACGATGCTCTGTTCGTAAAATTGACAGCTCTTAACCTTCTAGCCACCCGCCCTGCTCCGAACACATTGCTCCATCCCCTTCAATTAAACTTGTAATTAACAATATAAATTGGGTGAAAAAATATGTGTTGTGACTGCCTACTATCAGTCTAGCCCACACTTTTATTCATTTATTTGGATAAATGAATAAAATTCAGGTGTGAATTTGGTTAAATGTAATTTTTGTAATTCAATGAAACAAAAGAGGGAGAAGAAGAAAAAAGAATTAATCCATTGAAAATAAAGCCAACAACGAAACATTGCAACCCAAGTTAAACACAACAAAAGTGAACATTACAACAAATGTTAGACCCAACAAAGCATCGTTACTTTTCGATTTTCGATTGTCCTTTTACTCGTTTTGCTCTTCTTTTCTTTCACTTTCAACTTACAAAATCACCCTGGGTTTTGGGCTTGTCCATTGGACTTTGGAACAATCCAATCGAGAAACTCGTGACACTGTTACTGGTGTTGTCAGTGACGACGAACTGTAGAAATTATGACTCTTTTCCTTAAATAACTACTTGTTCACTATTTCGTGTTTTTCTAAGATCACGAGGTTCCCAGCATTCATGGTGTCTCTAGCGCTAAATGATAAAAGTGCTCGAATTTAATGTCCTCCCAAAGGCCCGACACCACTCCCTCGATCTTGAGGTGAACTGGTTAATCAAAAGGATTTGATCTTTTAATATGGTTCTCAAGTGTTTTATGATTCAATCCAATGACCATTATTCCATCCTAAATTCTATTTTGGTTTTGGATCAGATTTTTGCATATCTCACTTGCCAAGGCGTCTGTGTAGACAATCATTTCTAGCAGCACATGTGTCTTTAGCCTAATTTTCCTAGCATGTTACTCATTGAATCGAATTGTTGGTCTGAAAGTCCTTACCTAGTGACTCATGTTTTTTAGGTGTTGGCGCTAAAATGATCAACCATTTAGATTAAAAAATAACCCGATTGTCCACCTAAGTGGGGAGTGTTATGAGGGTATCCCACACCGGTTGTATTTGGCCTTTGGAGCACCTTTGTACATTCTTGTCTCTTACTCCATCCGTTTGCAAAAAGACTTTCCATTTTGATTTGGGGCAAAAATAAGGAAGTGTTAAATTATAGTTTATTTCCAATTTTGCCCCTGATGTGATGGGTAAAAGTAAGATGTGATGGATAGATTATTAGAGAAAAAGTATGATGTGATAGGTAGGGTATGAAAAAGTAAAAGTAAAAGTGGTTTTTTAATAGAAAAGGGAAGTGTTTTGTTGGAAGTGAAAAAAATGAAAGAGAGAGTGTTTTTGAGAACGGAGTGAGTAATAAATACAGAATATGAGTTTCCTTCAAAAAAAAAGTTGAATGAGTTATAAACTCTTGAATTGAACTGATTTATATATTGAATTTAATCTTTTAATGGTTCCTTCATCAGAACTCTCGTTATTATAAAAGACCATTTATATAATTTACTCTATAGATGGTTGAAAGATGTGCAACGTACATATATATATGGTGTCCAAAATTGGAAATCTAGTGGTAGGCTTAATTTTATAATAATGCTTGTCAATTTCCATCGTTTTATTATATTTTTGTCACATTGTGAGTGCTGCCATAACAACTTTGCTAAACAAGAAATTAAATATAGTCTTAGACGACGATCAATAACGAGGAATTCTTCATTCATACTTATACTCTTTTTTCCAAATTCATGCATTTATTTAATTCCCAAAATTGTACTTAGCATCTCATCATTTTTAGTCTGATTTATTGCATTTTCACACTGTACTCCATGCCTTCACACGTTTAATTTGGTGTAAACGTCAATAGAGTTATCATTTCTCCAAAGTTTGGAATTCGTATCGATCATATAATAATCAAATCTTTTAATGTGATTTAACTTATTAGATACACTGCATATACTGAATGACTTCAATTTAACAGTTCATGCATGAATTTGTTACACCAAATACGGTATAATTAGTATGTGTGTGTATGTATATATATAAATTTTAAAATAAACTGAATTAATAAATAAATTTGATCAATCATCGTAGTCTAAAATCGTATCTTTATTTTGGGACGTAAAGTAGATTTTTTGGTATGCTACAAACAAGAAATGTATCTTAAGACTTGATTGGTGTGCTACAAGCAAGTTGTTGGGGATTCCTCCAAGTCCCACACTGGAAGGAGAAGAAAAAATGGACCAAAATATATAGGTTCACCCAACCCCATTAGTATGAGGCTTTTTGGGAAGTGTTCAAAAACAAATCCGTGAGGGCTTGACCCAGAGCGGACAATATCATACTAATGCGGGGTTGGGGTGAGGGCACGCGCAGTCCCAACACAAGTCACAAATTTTTTAAAAGTGTACGTTAAAGATAAATATTGCTAAATATTGCTAAATATATACACTATCTATCCCAAATTAAATTTTATGTTTATTATTTACATGGTTAAACTTAATTCATTTTCTTTCTCATTTAAATATACTAGTCATGTGAGATTTTTTAATGTAATATGTTAATATGAAATTTTTATTTTTTTAATTCTACATCATTTTTCATATAAAATAATTTGAAAATAATTTCAATCAAACATCATAAACTAAAACATTACAATATAATATTGATTCGTATATCTCTTTCACAAGTTTTGGAAAACCAAAACCTAAAAAATTAGAAAAATTAGAAGAACAAAAAAAAACCTAAGGCAAATATCTTTTTTTCTCTTGAAAGGCAATGCTAACAACACTGAAAGAGTAGTTTAACTTTTTGCATTTGGAAAAATTATCTCGTAACAATATTTATGTATGGTATAATTGAGTGTTGATCTACAACAATATTAAAAAGAATTCAAAATCTTGTAATAATTATAAAACGATTCAATAAAATCGATCTTGACGAGGAATTTGGTTTCATTTGGGGACATATGTATGTCACCCAAACATTATACTCGTGGCCAGACACAAAAATTATTACTATATAATATAATATTATTTGATCAAACGTTAAAGTCAGTTTGGACTTTGGGTAGTAATCAAAACCCCTTTCTCTCTCTTAAAAAAACATTATATATATATATATATATATATATATATATATATATATATATATATATATATATATATATATATATATATATATATTTCTCCCATAAAGTGCAAACCTATTCCATCGGCACCATGTTTATTTTCCATCTTTTTGAGATGCATTGTTTATTTGTTTACTCCCTTGTTTGTTTAGATTGTTACGGAGTAAATTTTTTTAATTTTTTTGTAGTTCAATAATAATCCAATTTTCGTATGTTGAATTTAAGCAAAGAGAAAAAACAAACAAATTAGCACCAATTTACTAAACTATTATCAATTTACTATTTATACCGATATTTTAATTGACTTTATAATCTCTTAAACTTGACTAATTTTACACGCAAATACTTCATTTTGTCTATACATTTTTTTTGCACCCACTCTATGAATTTTCTGGCTCCTCCCCTGAATGTGTGTGTGTGTGTATATGTATGTATGTATGTATGTATGTATGTATGTATGGACCGTATATAAATGTAAGAAGAAATAATTAAATTCGATGTGGCTTGGAACTATATATTATATGGAGTTTTGTAGTTAGCATCATTCACAAATTCCTACAAAGCTATTAAAAGAAACTAAGGAAATGAAAAGCATGACATATATTTCCCATTTTTATTTTGCCGAAAGCCCCAAATTAAACCCACGAGATCAACGCACCTAGGTCCTAGGGTATATGTAGGGCACTTAATCTAATATAGCACATTTTGTATACAACAAATCTTACAAGGTTCATACTTTTTTGTCTCAAAATGACTAACATCAAAGTGAAAGTGAGGTGAAATTTTAAGTTTTTAACATTTATTTTTTCTAAAAATTGGTATAAAAATGATAAACTTCGTATTCAAAAATTATGTTAAAAATTTTACAAAACAAGAAATGTTAAGAATATTTAATTTTATTAAATAATCAACGAAAGAAACACAAATTAAATAAACAAAAAACCGTGAATTTGGAATAGTGATGTCTGTAAATAAAAAGGATGAGCCTCATCCTCGAGGGCCTCCTCAGATATTCCAGCCGGACGGTCACTAATGAGAGGAGATAAATTTGACTTTAATCACAGATTAATGACTAAGAATGAAGTATGCATCTAGTACTTGCACAGGAGTGACACTTGTAATTGATTTTGGGCTTTAATTACAAATTGGTGACGTCTGTAAATGATTTTGGGACGTGCGGAGTAATTTTTTGTGCAACCCACCGTAGGATTGAAAGTTGCCAAAGCACAGATGATAATCTTAATATTTTACACAAATTCAAGGTCGTTAGCTTAAAATAAAATAAGAAAATGTTTGGTTCACAAACACAATGGTCACAAACTTCACAAATTTACTATTTGTGAATTTCAGCAAAAAAAATAAATAGTCTAAAGTAATTTTAAAATAAAACTTTAAACTATAAATAGTAAACTTGTGAAGTTTGTGAGCATTCTGTTCGTGAATCTAACATTGTTTAATAGTAAAATGTTATACTCCGTTATAAGCTTAATTAAAACATGTTAAAATAATAAAATGTATTCTCTCCGTTCTCAAAAACATTTCCTATTCCATTTTTTCTACTTCCAACAAAACATTTCTACTTTCTATTAAAAAACCAATTTTACTCTTACTTTTTCATACACTACGTATCACACCATACTTTTTCTCTAATAATCTATATTTATCACATCATACTTTTATCACCACATCAAGAGCAAAATTGGAAGTCAAAATTGGAGTACTTTCTTATTTTACACTTAGTCAAACTAGGAACTCTTTTTTAGAACGGATGGAGTAGGTTGTTTGATTTCATACCAAATGATATTGGATTTTTGTGAAATTTTAAGATGTCGATCTAGGCATTTTTTAGGATATTTTGACCACCCCAGTTCAAGTGACATTGAAATTCAATGTCATAGGATAATCTGAGTACTTACATTGTTCCGTTTGAAAAAATTGATTATTCCTACGTCCTTAACCCCCAGTAAATCCCTCTATTATGGCCCGGCTCGAGCCGATTCTCACCCCCTCCAATTGCACCCTACAAATTTTAGTTGACTTTAGAGTTAAATTTTGACTCAAAAATCAACTAAATTTTGCGGGGTTCAATTAGAAGGGTGGGGGGTCGATTTGGGTTGAGTCGGGGTAGGGGTGTTAAGGAAGGTAGAGATCATCAATTTTTCAAACGAAACACCGTGGGTGCTTCAATCAAGGCTCATGTCAAGGGTGACATGAGGGACTAATGTCACCCAAACCTCCCCTATTTTGAGAATTTTTGACACTACAATTTTTTATTTGACACCGTTTGAAATCACTCAATCTTTTAGTATACACGATGTGTTCATATATTTGGCACCCATCCAAACAAAGCTCTTATTTTCCCTGGAAAAAAAAAAAGAATTACCTTTGAGGACATTTTATTTTTGAGGTTTATTTAATTTTTTCCCCTATGCGATCCAAAATACTAATGAAAAATTATTCAAAAAAATCTCAACTTTACTTTATCTTTAAAAAAAATTTCATCTTTCACTATGATGCATAATAGTCACAACTTTATTGAAATTTGTGAGTTTTGGGCCGCTGTTAAATTGCTAACCGTGGATTAACAGAATGGCATGTTTTGTGCAACGAAATGAAAGTTGAGATTATTTTTTATGATTATTTATTTTTATTTTTTGAAATTTTTATTTAATTTTTAAAATGACTTTCTACTTCAATTTCTTTTTCCTTTTTTAAATATTAGTCTTATCTTATAAAAAATAAAAATAGGTATAAAAACATCAAAAATGGGAAAATAATTAAAACCATACAAAATTAATAAAATAAATAAGGTAACCAATGAAACTAAAATTGAAAAGAAACAAAATTAAAATATAACAAGTTAAGTGTTCTGACATTTTACGCACTATACAGAGTATTAATGTACTACTTATTTTTTGAAAGAAGGGTAAAGTTAGAATTGTTCTAGATAACTTTTCTAAAAATAAGAAAAAGAGTTACATTAATGATCTATATATTGTGTAAAATGTTAAAACTCATCGCTCCATACATTTTTATTTTATTTCTTACGAGTTTCAGATTCATTTCTATTCATTACTTTGTTTTTTCATTAATTTTTTATGATTTTAGATATTTTTCTCATTTTCGTTATTTCTTATATCTATTTTTATTTTTATCCAAAGTTAGGCTAATCTTTAAAAAAAGAAATGATGGGAGTAGAAAGTCATTTTAAAAATTTAAATTAAAATTTCAAAAAAAAATAAAAAACAAAAAATCATTAAAAATAATCTTAACTTTTGTCTTGTTACGCAAAACAGTCTGTTTCCGTTAACTCGCCGTTATTAGTAAAGTTGAGATTATTATAGATCACAATGAGATTATTGGATAATTTTTTTCAAATTCTAATTATATTACAAAAATCGTTTTAATAAAAGAGCCGTTTCTTGGTTTATGTCATGCTTGCTTCACGCAAGCTTCTACATGCATATGTGGGGTTGGGGTGGGGGTGGGGGTGGGGGTAGGGCGTGTTTGCTTCTTCGCGTGGCTTTAAAGACTTCAATTCATGTGTTTAAAGATATGCACACCACCCCAAACTTTCACAAAACAAACATTATATTATTTTTAAAAAATAATAAAGACTCCAAACAAACCCTAGAAAACCCCATATATGTCCCTTCAACCTTTATTAAAATTCTCCATTCATCTTCAAGAAACCCTAAACTTAATTGAATTGCTCTCCAAGCTTTGCTAGCTAGCTTAATAAGTTTGGTGAATTGATCAATCCGCCGCGCCGTCGATCATGAGCTCCGGTAGTCCGAGTACTAGCGGAGCCGGTGGCGGTCCGGGAAGCGGGGGAGGCGGCGGGCCGTGCGGGGCGTGCAAGTTCTTGAGGAGGAAGTGCGTGGCGGGGTGCATATTCGCGCCTTACTTCGATTCGGAGCAAGGCGCCGCCCATTTCGCGGCGGTCCACAAGGTGTTTGGCGCCAGCAACGTCTCCAAACTCCTCCTCCACATTCCTCCCCACAAACGCCCCGAGGCGGTCATCACGATATGCTACGAGGCTCAATCCCGCCTCCGTGACCCCGTCTACGGTTGTGTTTCACATATCTTTGCCCTTCAGCAACAGGTAAAGACACACAAAGTACACACAGATGGCACCGGTACATATTGTACGTTTATTTTAAATCAAATTTCTTTCAAATTGAAAAGTTTGAGATTTTGTTTTTTCAAGAAAATTAAAGAATGGGATTTATAAAATTGGGACGAACCAAACACGGCCTTATGATCATAGTTGGTGAATTAAACATCATATCATACGGAGTATTCAGTTGCAAACTTTGCTTTCTTCCATTTTTAGGCCATTTCCATCACATTTCTCCATTTTACCAATATATTGAAGTGTTTCTTCTTATTAGTAAAAAAGGGTGAAGAGGAGATTTCACACTACAACACATGGAAACACAACACCATTTCTGAACATACCTTTTTGTAGAAATTAATTATATACTCCCTTTTCGAAATAAATATATCATTGTTCATTCTTCACCGGTCACACTTTATCTTCTTTGTTTGCATTTTTTGTCATTCATAAATGACATTGTTTTCATAGATATGTTAAGACTACCTCTCTTTTAGAATATTTGTTCATTTTTTATTTTTTGCAGTCAGAATTGACAAATTTTAATCATTAGTTAAATACAATTTATATTATATATTAATACAAGAAAATTTTTATTAGAGTTATCTTGTAAAAAACTATTGAAATATTGTTTTATCTAATTAATAACCCATATAATATTTATTTAATTATATGTGAAATATCGACATCGATTGAGTGCAAAAAGTTAAAATTAGACAGACTCTAGAATAGAGAGAGTAATTTTTTAATAAATAATTTTATTAAACAAATTGATTTAAAAATAGTTAATTGTAAAACGCCATGGAGGGAGAAGTAAAAAAAATTTGCGTGTGAACGTAACCTCGGTTCTACAATTTTGATACACTTCATTTGTCCCAAAAAATATTTTTCTATTTTTTAAAACTACTATTCGTTCTGTTCTTAAATATAAATTCATCTTTCACTTCAAAGAATTTTATAAAAATATTTAAAAGAATTAAAAATAATATAGAGTACATGCTTGCATTCTTTTATTTTGGGATGACAAAATTGGAATTTTTATATTCAAAACGAGGTCGGTGCAGTGGGTATTTCACCATTATTTAAGACATTAATTTATTAATTTCCCCAAAATATAATTAAGAGTTGTATAATGGTCAAGAATAATTTTGAGCTTTATATAGAAAAGTTATTCGTATATATGATATATAAAAACCAATTTAATTAGTAATGGTTGTTGTGAAGATCACATTCATGTTAAGGTTGATTAGTTTGCTTTAAAGTTTAGAGTGGATTTTTGTTTTGTTGAGTGTTTGATAACTATTTTTTGCTAAGGTCTTATGACTTTAAAAGTTATATATATAATGACTTTCCCCAAATAGCATCACATGTGTTTTTCTTTCTAGTGTAGCACTTTTAGTCATTATGCATTAGTCATTATTTAAGCAAATATTTGTCATCACAGGATATTATGGACAATATTAAGTGTTATTTAGGGAATAAAACAATTTAAGTGCTATTTACAGAAATGACTTGAGTTTTAATGCTATTTAGTGCAAATATTTCATATATATATATATATATATATATATATATATATATATATATATATATATATATATATATATTCTAATAAGGTACTCGATCACCCCATTCTAATTTCATTAAAGAATAAATGAATGTAGACATAATGTAGGTCAAGATTCATTCATTTCTTAATATGTGTAACTTGTTATAGTGGTCACTTATTTAAGAATAGGATTATTTTTTAAAGAAACCTAGCTATTTTGGATTAAATATTTTTCATTTCTGACTTTTATTTTCCAGTAATTTACCACACCCCAATTGCCACATTAATTTATTTAAGATGGCTAATTAATAAACTTTCTTTGTGCATGCTACTTCAAAAAATGATTTAATACATATTTTATTATTTTAAAAATAAACTTGATATTTTATTTTTTTGTGTGTGCTAAAAAGGATATTATATGTATATGTTGTGTCTTATTTTGGTCACATGTATCATCTTCAATGTGGATAGACTTCCAGATAATAAAACAAAAACAAAAACCATTTTTACGTTACAAAATTAATTATTTTGATTCATGTGTTGGACACTGGAGTGGAACAGTCCGACCCCGAATTTAGGTGTATTACGAGTATTTCTTTAAATAAATGAAACAATATAATTTTAATATTTTAGAGGAAAGAAATGTAACATTATATTATATATTTTACACCCTCTCTTCCAAAATATTTTATACTTTACACAAAATGGAGGGAAATTTTAAGGTTTTTAAATTCATTTTATTTAAAGATTGACATTTAAATTAAAAATAAAAATTGTTTATTTGAAAACTGCGTCAAAAATTCTATTCCGAGTACAAAACAAGATGTGACAAAATATTTTGTTTTACAAAATAATCAAACTCTTCAAATAAACAAAAGTTTTTCACAATTTTTGAATAGTGAAAAATATAACTTGTTTTTGGGAGGAAGAGATCTTTTTTTTTGAGTAAATGTAACATTGTAGTCTTGTCATTTCAATTTGGCCAAATTGCACATTTGGACCTCTAAGTAAATCTTTGGTGACAAAAATACCATTTTTGACATTTTTGCAACTTGTGATCTTTATATTAAAATCAATAAGATTTAACACAATTAATGTGACCAAAATGCCCATGTGGCTACCGGGTGCAGGTAATAAACCTTCAGGCAGAGCTCGCATACTTACAAGCCCACCTAGCAACACTCGAGGTGCAACCCCCGCCGCCGCCACCTCATCACTCGATGTTAGTGCCGCCGGCGGTCCTAAACATGGCGGACCTCCCTGCTGGTGGCACATCGATGATGATGCCGCCAGTCAACGACCTCTCGTCGCAACTCTTTGACTATTCCATGGCGCAACACTCGCCGTGGAACATCCACCACCACCAGCGGCCACCGGACCCCCGCCACACGAGGGTGGGCCCTACCGAGGTGCCATCGTCGTCCAGCGGCGGCGGCGGCGGAGATCTTCAAGAATTGGCGCGTGAACTCATGCATAGGCATGGGCTTGGCGGGTCTTCAACAGTGCCATGCACGGCGGCTCCACCGCATAGCAGCTAGTCGCCGAGAGTGAAACCGCAAAAGTTTTTTTTTATTTATTTTAGATCGGATATATTAATAATTAATATATAATTATATATCATAAAATATAAAATTATGTGATTATTAGTTAACTAATGCATGGTTTAATTAATGAATCACAATAGACGAGTGAGTCGGAGATAATTTCCGTTGCGAATCCTTTACTTTTATCTTATTTATACTTTTGACCCTACTATTTTCTTTTTTTATTTGCACCACCCTTTGGAGTGAGACCACAATTGGACCTCCACAACCGAGTTTGAGATGGGCCGTGCCTGATATTTGTTTTTGTCCATGCATCTCTAGACGGGCCAAACTCGGCCTCAATTTTCAGGCCGAATATATACCTATATCCTCTCGGAATGGACTTGGGCTTTTAGTATGCAGTCTAGTACTTCCAATCCGTTAAACACAAGGCCCCGCACAATAATACGGGAGTAGTAGTAGTAACACAAGTCGGATTCCCATCAACTTATTTTTTTATTTATTACTTGTTCCATATTGTAATTTGGATACTACTATATGTTTAGTATTTCGTCTTTTTTTTCGTTTCCATACTGTTAGACAATGATTAAATACGGAATGATACATTGATACTTGATGAATGATGACCGTGAATATAATGTTTAATAAATATAGACTAATAAATATGGGAAACTCTCATTTATGGAGTATAAAGGACTATTTAGAGACTTTAACATAAAAATTAATAAATACGAAAAGTGTATGGTTGTAGTTTATTTATAAAAAGTCAAAATTTGTACACTGTAAAAAATAGCTTACCAAAAATATTATTTTTAATAGGAGAATTAGTTTGGAATGCATAGAAATTAAAAAGAAATTAGAAGTTATTATTCACTTTTAATTGCAGTTTTTGGATAAAAAAAGATCCTCCCAACGAGAGTTTCTCTGCCAGTCTCCTGCCCAATGCTGGAATGTATGCCTCTTAACAAACGAAGTAACGACTTCTAATTTCTTTTGGAAAATGGACTAAATTAAGAGTAAAACATATAGATAGTACCAAAATAGAATTTGTATATTTTTTGTCTCCAAAATAGAGTACAATGCTAAATATGAAACTTTTAGTTTGAGAAAAAAATATGAAACTTTTAATTTCAGAATAAATGCTACTTCGTATGTTTTACTACTACTACAAAATAAATTACAATTATAAACTTTAAATATTTATTAATTTTTATATTAAAAGTGGTTTAAAAGGGGGAGAACTCTCTAGATAGTTATAAGTCTTTCAAGACAAAAATAAAAGTTCACACCTCCATTGTTACACTGACAGACTCACACATAGTCACATTGTAACTGTCACATTATCAACGCCACACTGTCATCCGTCGCTGCCAGCCATGTTAGTGCCGCTGCAGATCACCGACGGGTGAGTGATCATACTGACATATTACACTGCTATCAGTTTTCCATCGCAATGCAAATGCGTATTTTTCACCACACTGCTATATATTTATATTTTGGTTTTAAAAGACATAGGACTCATATTTTGGTTTGTTAAAACTTTTTTGCTCCTATCTAGGGACATTTTTTTTTAAAATGTAAATTGTCTAAATAATCCTTTATAACTTAGGTCTTTATATTTTGTCAATATTTATCAAATATTATATTCGCAATCTTATTGATTGGGTACTTTTCCCATGTTTATTCCTTTTTTAATGACACTAAACGAAAAAATAGATGGAGGGCCAAATATGAAATAATACTCAATTAATAAAGATTATCAACATAATATTTGATAAATATAGACAAATACGAAAAACTCTCAATTATAAAGAACCATTCAGAAATTTTATTCTAAGAATAACAATAATAACAACAAAACAACAACTCAAATTTGAATGAGATCATGAGTCTGTTTGGGAATGACGTTTGAGATTAGCATTACCGTTTTGAAAAAATTATCTACAGTCAGTGTTTAGCATTTTCAAAGTAACACATACCATTAAATTTTTATCTAAAACGCTAATGCTTATCCCAAACAGGTGTCGTATGTGGGTATTCATACCGTCAAAAAAAATATCTAATCTATTTCGATAGTATATAGATATAAGGATCTATCACACATAAAGGTTATAAGATCCAAGAAAATACGGGCGTAATACTCAAGCCGTAACGGGCTAAATGAAAAGAGATAGAAACTTAGGATTTGAAATTCAAAAAAAGCGGAGCAATTATATAGCCAAAATCCGCGCTCTCCCCATAGACCCGTTTTCTCTCTTATCTTCTCCTTTCTTCTCCCCCAAAACCCCATTTTTTTCCTTTTTTGTGCGTTTTCAAATTTCAACTCAGATTTCAGCGATTTGAATGAACAGTCCACTTTACCGTTACGGATCTTCCCCTCGATTTCCCCAATTTATACTTCTATTGGTCGGCGGACGAAGCCAAAACCACCGCACTGATCGCCTGAATCACGCTACCGCGAGTTCGTGACGTCATTTTCCGGCCAATTTCGTGCTGCTTCCACTGCGACCTTCCGAATTCCGGCGCTCAAGCCGATCGTTCTCGGTTTGTTCTCTTTCATGCTGCGCTTTCTTCAACAAAAACTATTAACCTGGCCGACTTTGCTTCTCCCTTTTAGTAATCAAAATTTATGAAATTACTGTTTAGGTGTTTTTTGGTGAAGAGTTGTACTGTGTCGAGTGAATGATTGTAAACTAGTCCTTCAAGGTGGATACTTTACGGCACTGATCGAAAGGGGTTTGAGGAAATTGTTATAGTATGATTTCACTGGGTGAAATTTCTAGTGTCAAGGGTTTTTTCAATTGGGATCGACTAAATTTTGCTGGGGATTTGTCTTGTTTGGCTGTTTAATTTCAACCTAACGTTCTATATGTTTTCTTTCATTTCAGAGATTATTGATCCTGAGATGAATAACCACCAAGACAATCAGCCTTCGCGTATGGAAACAGCTTGTGGATCTCTAATGTCCGAGTTGAAGGTTTTACCCAGAACCTCTTAATCTCTCTCTCTCTCTTGCATTTTTTAAATTACAAATTAGGAATTACAGATTTCCTACATACATCTACCAATTCTACAAGGCTCTAATTTTGGATCTTTTTGTGGTGTTTTCTATGTTCAAAATTGTTAATGGAATCAGAAAATGTGGGATGATATCGGAGAGAATGAGGTTGAAAGGGACAAGATACTTTATCAACTTGAACAAGAGTGTTTGAAAGTGTACAAAAGAAAAGTTGATGAGGCAAGCCGCAACTGTGCTCAGCTGCGGCAAGCAGTTGCTGAATCTGAAGCAGAACTTGCACGAATCTGTGCTGCGTTGGGGGAACAGCCAGTTAATCCAAGGCCGGTCAGTGTTTTATTTTCTTTTGATTTAATGTATATATAAAAAGTTAAACCTGTTCTGATGGACTGGACTGTGACCACTTACAGAAATCAAGCAGCTTGAAGATGGAGCTTGAGGCCATTAGGCCTCAGCTACAAGAGATGAAACACAGAAAACTGGAAAGGGAGTGTCAATTTGCAGATGTCATCAATGCAATAGACATTGTCTTGGAGGAGCTTGGTTTATCAAGAAAAGAGTTTCCAAATGTGATTGCCTTGGATGAAAGTGATATGTCCTTGAGAAGACTCGAAGAGATGAAGGGTCACTTGCTTTCTCTGCAAGCAAAAAAGGTATCTGCCTTTTGTTTGTAGTAGTCATAATTTTCCAATCTGCTTAGTTAGGCAGACACCCACTGCATTGAATATGGCATTGAGTGTGGGATTTCTGATATCAATTACATATTTAAAAAGAGAAAATAATGATCATGAATACTTTATGGTATCAATGTTGCAAATGTGAGGATCTCTAACTTGTGTACTTAACTTCTTCCAGTCGGACCGCTTGAAGCAAGTGCTCAACCTCTTGGAATCTCTCAATTCGTTATGCCTCGTGCTTGGTATTGATTTTAGAAATACTGTTGTGGAAATCCATCCAACTTTGGATGGCTCATATGCCTCGAAAAGTGTAAGTGCACAGACAATTGATAGGTTAACTGCTGTAATACACAAACTGCGTGAGGTCAAGATTCAACGACTTAATATGGTTAGTATCTGTATTTTTGTTCTCACATTGTTTCCATGCATATGATCTTTTATCAGCTGTAAAGCTCGTTCATTGTTGTTTTCACAGGTTCAAGATCTTGCAACCACAACGGTGGAGTTATGGAATTTGATGGATACGCCAGTGGAGGAACAACACCCATTCCTTAGTGTCACACGGACTATAGCTGCTTCAGAAAGTGAAATTACTGAGCCAGACGCTCTCTCATTACAATTTATTAAGTCTGTAAGTCACTGTGACAGAACCTCGTACAGTATACTCCCTCTGTCCTACATTTAAGTTTCCACTTCGCTTCTAAGGTCGTCCCAAAATAATGTTCTCATCCCTTTCAAAAAATGTGTGTTTTATATCGCTTGTAGTTCTCTCCTTTGTATAAATCTGAACCACAAAGCTTCAGATTTTTTAAACTCCATGAAAAAGCAAACATGAACTTAAATATGTGACGTATGGAGTAAAATGTATGTATACAAAGATGTTTTTTGGCTAAATTTTCATGCTGGATTTCTTTCTTGTCAAACTCTTATGCAAGACATTTATGTACTCAGCATTACTTTGCAATGCCTTGACATTTAATTTCCTTGCAGGCAGAAGTTGAGGTTTCAAGGCTTTTAGAGTTGAAGACGAGCAAATTGAAGGAAGTTCTCTTGAAAAAGAGGCTTGCATTGGAGGAAATATGTAGAAAGGCCCACATAGTTCTTGATGCTGATCAATCGACTGAGTTCTCACTAGAGGCTATAGAGTCTGGTAAAATATCTTTATATACTTGATGTACGTGGGGGACATGTTTTTTTTCCTGCTAAAACTGAGTGAGAGAGTCTGTCTTTCTTTTTTCAGTAGTGTGATTTAGCCTTCTTGTATAACAGCTTTTGATACTTCTCACAGATATATTTATCACACAAAGTTTCTGTATGATGCTATCTCGTCTAAACTCCATTTTCTTGTTTAGGGGCAATCGATCCCTCTTACCTACTCGAACAGATAGAGATCAAGATTTCCACGTTAAAAGAAGAAGCTTTCAGCAGGAGAGAGATACTTGAAAAGGTCGATAAGTGGCTAGCTGCATGTGATGAAGAATCATGGTTGGAGGAGTACAACAGGGTTTGGCCATTTAATATTCGTGGATTAGTGCTGGCATATTCTTTTGCTCAATGCTTCTGATTTTAACAAGGTTTTCTTTTCTTTTTTGTTTCAGGATGACAATAGATATAATGGTGGAAGAGGCACACATCTTATTCTGAAGCGAGCTGAGAAAGCCAGAGCGCTTGTCAACAAAATTCCAGGTACAAAGCTTTTACCCCTTCTGTCCATTTTAAAACATTTTTTTTTCTTTTAAAAATAGATTCCAGTCTGATCAAATAATGCTAAATCTTAACGTGATTTGTCAAAAACTTGCCAGACAAGTGATATGCAAGTTACATATGATAAAGCTTGTTAAACAAACAAACAAAGGCCAAAGTATTAAACTTACAAGTACCATTCATGATTAATGACAAACAACAACAACAACCCAGTTAAATCCCACAAGAGTAGGGTCTGGGGAGGGTGTGTGTACGCAGACCTTACCCCTACTCGAAAGTAGAGAGGCTGTTTCCAAAGAGACCCCCAGCTCAATGTTGAAAGTTGTATTGCTTGACTAACTGCTACTTCATTAATTAAAGAAACGCAGACAGTTTAGAGATCCATTTTGATTAATGACAGTTATACTTTAATCAAAATTAAATGAATACTCCGTATATCACACTCTTTTTGGGTAGAATGTAGTAGCTCTTTGTAGGAAACATGTTTGTTGAATATTCAAAGTTCTAAATTTGATAATATTGACCCCTAATTTGCTTCAATCGTGAGCACTTCGATGATAGGAATGGTGGATATATTGACGTCAAAAGCTAAAAGCTGGGAGAGAGAGAGAGGAGTTCCATTCTTGTATGACGGAGTAAGCATTTTTAGTTAACTTGCTCGAGAGAGCTCACTAATTCATGGTAGCCCTTACTTTTGTCATAGATCATTTCACTCATTGCTCTTAATCCTCTTATGTTCTTCCATAACTCTAACTATGGTTCTCTTCCCAGGTTAGCCTTCTTTCTATGCTTGAACAATATGGTCTTGTAAAGCAGGGGAAAGAGTTAGAACGTCAGAGGCAGAGGGTATGCATTGTTTTTTTTAATATGCATTGATATTTAGGGTAGGGACTACCGATCAATAAACTGAAGAATTCTACTTAAAATGAGGGATATGGAAATGTGGAATGAAGAGCCCTAATTCCCACCGCCGAGGAGTATAATAGGACCTAAATTTCATCAATTAAAACAAATGAGAAAATTTGTATGCAGCACGTATAGTTTTCCATTTAAGATAGCTTAAAAAAGACTACTCTACACTCTCTCCCAAATGCTTCTCCACTTGCTCTTTTACTTGCTTAACTCCGGCATGAGTGCATGACGGAGAGAGGGTAATGAATATTTCCATCAACTCTCACAGTCCCACTCCCCATCACACCTTTCAATCCTCAAAATCTCATTCCCAACTCCCAAACAAGCCCTTAAAGATTTTTGTTTTGTGTACTAGGACCAGAAGAGGCTTCAGGGACAGCTGATTGCAGAACAGGAAGCACTCTTTGGGGCAAAGCCTAGCCCATCACCGAGTGTGAAGAAGAATTTAGGTGGGGGTGGAAACAATAAGAGATACTCAATGGGAGGAGCCATGCTCCAAACACCATATGCTGAGAGGGCAGCACTGTCTATTCACACCACGAAGAAAAAGAACCCGGTGAAGCAGCCAGCCCTTGCTAACGTTACACAAAACTTCGTTGCCCACTCTTCTGGTACGTTAGTTTTTGAAAGCCTTCTGAGAACTCACTCAAACTCTCTTCTATATTCTTATCTTTCATTTGAGCACATAAATTATAGGTGCGCGCATTTTGGATTCGGTTTGGTTTCTTTCCATTTTAGTTTGGGTTGGTTTGAAACTGAATTGGGTACTCCTATACAGTTTTACACACACCCTCATCATACGCTACTTTTATGGCATTTTACTAGGTTTTGTGGCATTCATTTCCAATGGATTTGTTTGTTTTTTTTGAATATATAGGTAAGAGAGAGAGTTCTATACATGCAAAACAGCAGCATTCAATCAACATATCAAATCCAAATAGGAATCCCCTTTCCCCTCTATCATCACTCTCATTCAACACCAACTCTCCCAACATAATAATCCCGAGAAATGAGGATGAAACACCTCCATCGTCACTGATGACCACTCCGGTGAAGAACGTGTGTGGTATTATTGGAGGAGGAGGGGGGTACACAACCCCGAAGAACATAATGCCGATGCGGACCCCATCCACACCTCCCTCTGCCGCTTCCATCGCCATGCAGACTGCCGCCACACCTGCCCCTGCAGCTGCTTCTCTTGCTGCCGACGATGATGACTATGTCGAGTACTCCTTTGAGGAGAAGAGAGCCGGGTTCTTTATCCCCAGGTTACAACAAATCCATTAGCTATTATTGTGTTGGCTTTCTCTGAGCTTTTCCACCGTTAGATCGTGCGCTCTCTCACACACACAGACTCTGTTTGTGTGTGTGTGTGAGTGTTTGATCTAACGGCTCGAAATGGATGCTCATTTCAGGGTGTACATTTTTTCTTTTTTTCATGCCATAGAAATTTGGCAGTTTCGGATTTGAACGGTGGGGATGAATTGATTGAATCAAAGCTCTCCTGTTATAATGACAATGTAGTAGTGTTTCATAATGATGGCTGTTTTGGGAATTTAACTTTTTGAGAAGTAAATAACCAACTATATCACGCAATGTATGTAACAAAATATTTTGAAATTAAGTTAAATCAGAAAACTGAAATCATATTAATTACAATCCAAATCATGTGATTCATGTGTACTGTTCAAATTATTTATTTCAAACAATTAATATGGGTGGGTGACAAATCTCAAGGTAGACTATTTTTTCACTAATTTTTTTACTTATGTATTAATAAAAACTTCTATCTTTCCCTTTTAAAAAAAACATAATGGAACAATATTATTTTTTCGTACTAACCTAAGTATTTTACCTATTAATATAGCAAACCTTGCGTGTAAAGTTGTAAACTAACCAAAAAATTTCCTCTAGGAGACAAAATAAAATGATTGTAAAATCTAAAAAGGTTAAAATACGACAATATAAAGTAAAGTAGAAAGAAAATGTGAAAAGTATAATCATTGCAGGGTTAAATGATTTTTCTTTATTTATGAGTTACACCAAATTATTGATATCAATATTTTCTTTAATGTTATACTCCCACACCAAAAAACAAAAACAAAGTTTAACATATAAGTTCCATGATTTCTCCTCTTATCAATAATTGGTTTTGGGATTAAACTCCCATGAACTTAATTGTGTGTTGGGTCTACCGCTTAAATGTGCACAAACCGACGCATGTCTAGTCATGTTATGATAGACCCACCGACTATTATCATGGGATCATCTTGCGGTTTAAGCCCAGGAACTAACTCAATTGTATCAAGAAACACAAATTTGTGGTTACAGGGCCAAGAAAGCTTTTTTTAAAAAATTGCATATGAAATTTTAAAAGTTCTAGGTGACGCTGGATTTCGAATTCGTTTTCAAAATTTTAAAAGTTCTAGGTGACGCTGCATTTGAAAAAATATTTATATTTGAAGACTGAGATAAAAAAGAAACACTCTCTCCATTTCAGATTGAGTTACATATTTACTAATTATACGGTCAAACGTTAATCAATTCCATTTCATATTTTTTTTTACTCTTATGATAAAATGATATTGTTATCTTCTATTTCAAAAAACTTTTGGTGTACTTTTTGAAGTATGTAAAATAAATTGTATTAAAAATAAATTAAATTAAAGTTATAAATTAAAATAGATAATTTAAATTAGGATGGAAGAATACTAAAAAAAAACGTAGTCTTGGGGCTATAAGTAGCACCTACTCTGCTCTTTCTTTTTGAGTTTTGACTCTACATATACTCCTTTGAGTAGCTGTATACTTTCATTTGGAATTGTGAGTACTTAGGAATCATCTTTCTAGGGAAATGTTGGCATAGAAAATATTTTCACTATAAAAAAATAATAATCCCATCCTATAAAATTACCTTGTATCGGAGTAAAAAAAATTACTCTGTATAGGTTTGATTTTGTAGAATTTGGGAATTAAAGTTGGAAAGGAAAATCTTTGAGAAATGATTTTGTACAATTTGGGATTTCATACAAACCGGAGAGAAATGCTTTGAGTTCTGTATTTCAAAAAAATATAATGACATACTTTGTTCCAAAAAAGAATTCTTACCGTCCTAATTTTAATTACAAATTAGGAATTACAAGTTAAATTCCTAAAATTTTGAAATTATTTTATTTATAAAATAGTAAATTAATAAAAAATAAAAATTACATATTAAAAAACTATATCAAAAGTTTTACAAAATAAGAGGTGACGAGAGTATTTTAGTTTATCAAATAATTAAAGAAAATACACAAATAAACAAAAGTTATCGAGAGAGAAATTAAAATTGTCATCAAAATTGGAGGAGGGAGTATTAGTTATGTGTTAAACTTCGATATTTTTTCTCTGTCAATTTTTACTATTTATTTTATAAAATTATACATATAGCATTTTAATCTCTTACGTATCTCATATTCAAACTTTGACAATGACAACAAATTTAAGCATACTAATGATATGTTTTTGTCGTATCAAGACAAATTTGTATAAGTAGCATTTGGAAATTACCATTTCAATTTAATACTTGCATTTTAATTTTAAAATTTGAATCCTTGAATTTCAAGTGACAATGGGAGACATAAATTTGTAATTAAGCTCTGTAATGAAATAGAGAAATTTGTCTCAAATTCAAACCTTTATACAATGTTGGTCCAAAGAATTTGAAAGAAAAACAAAAGAAAATAAATTTTCCTCGTTTTCTCACCAATATGAGAGCAATTTGTTTTTCTCTCATTTTAGTAATATATGTCTCCTTAGTGTCTTTTCTTTCTCATTTTCTTTTATTTTTCTCTCTAACCAAATAAGAAAATTATTTTCCATCTCATTTTTTTTTTCAATTTCTTTGAGCCAAACATAGTGTTAAGATTTCAAACATGAAATTTGAGTCAAGACCAAAATATGAAATTTAAATTCAAAATTCTCAAACATATTGATACTTAAATCTAAATATTTTCAACATATTGTCCAAGCTTGTATTGAGAGGTTTGGATCGACTAACATCCTTGAGGAGTCCCCGGCATCATATGGAGAAAATAAATCAGTGTCATAAGAAGTAAAATCCATCAATTATTTTTTAACAATAAATACCATTATAATAATAAGAATAATAAAATACTCTTTTCGTCTCTAAATATTTGCAACATTTGTTTTATTTAGCAGTCGCGTGAACTTTTTTTTATTTCTATCTTTTCATTGGTTATTTGATAAAATAAAATATTCTTGACACCTTCTATTTCGAAAAACTTTCCATGTAATTTTTTGATATGTAAATTTTATTTTTTATTTCAATACCAATATGTAAATAAAATGAATTGAAAAAACTTGATATTTTACCTCGGTAATATAAGTATGACAAATATTTAGAGACAGAGGAAGTATCAAATTAAAAAATGTATATACTCCGTATATACAAAAATAAAAAATTAGAGCCCCCCCTCAGAAAATGAGTCCGGGCAGGATGACCATTGTGACCGCTGGGTATACTACATTAATAGGAGTAAGGTCATGTGATCCTTAACTTATTTTTTTATTTATTACTCGGTATTTATTATTATTTGAATTAGTTCAAATCAAAAATTGGTTTGAAATACTCCCTCCGTCATATAATGATCTTCCCAGAGCACTATTCCAACTTCACGGGAATTTATATTTATTTGTGTTTTTTCATGGCCTATATGATAAAATAAATATTCTTGTCACCACTTATTTTGTTGAACTTTTGATGTAGTTTTTAAATATGTATGTTTTATTTTTTATTTCTATACCAATATTTAAATAAAATAGATTGAAAAAACTTGAAATTTTTCTTCGTTTTACAAACCGGGAAGATCATTATAGGACGGAGGGAGTATAATTCATTCATACTAGATCAATCAAAATTTATTTTAATTAGATCAAAACTAATCACATGAGTGAAATAAAATAGGGAGTATAAAGTATGGCCTAAATTTTTTCAAATAGAGCGCAAGATCTTGGAGGGGGGGGGGGGGGGGGNACTTGGAGGACCCTCCATGGGAAAAAAGGACACAAAGAAGGCAGGTCAGCGGTACCAAAAAGGTTGACTACCCCGACACTATATCTTTTTTCAGCTTTTTGTTTCAATTTAATTTCGTCATAGTATTTTTTTAGGGACTATACTCCAAAATTTTGAATCCAAATTTAAAATTTCAAATGATAAACGCCCCCCCCTTCTTGTTCTCAAATCCCCTTTTTGGTACTCTCTATCTACTTTGTATCTTCATTATTGAATACTCCCTCCGTCTCACTATATTCGTCCACTTTTGACTTTTGGAACTGTTCATCTAAGCACTTTGACTCATCAAATTCTCTCAATGTGTAAACCTAAATATAGTAATGCGTGATCTTGTTTGATTTGTCCTAACATATAGATTATTAATATATAATTTATATAATTTTTTAATATACAAATTACAAGATAAAATAAATTAAAAAAATGTAGTGGATGGTGTGCAAAAATGAAAGTGGACAAATATAGTGGGACGAAGGAAGTATTTATGTAATCTTAACTTTATATAATAAATTGAATTTCATCATTCGATTGAAATTAGCATATAGAACTCGGTTAAATTCGATTTCTATGGTTGCTGCTACACATGGAAGGGGCGTCAGTGGTGCTCGCTATCTCTGCTTTGTTCGATTAAATCTTTGTCGTTCATTAGATCGTTTGTCTCTCGTTCAGTCGTTGCATCTTTAATTTCATCTACACGCTACTCTGAAGTTAGGTCGCCACAACAGAGTGCCCCGAGTGCCCCCACATCCCGGCCCGATAAGACAATGAGCGGGACAAGACCATTTTCTCTTCAACTTATTCTTAGAATTAATTTTTATTAGAATCAACCTAGTTCACACTAGATTAAAACCATGTTTAAATATGACTACATTCAGATCAGATCATAACCATTCAGATCAGGCAAAGAGAGCATGACCTAAATCACGGTATAATCTTAATTTAGTCTTTAGAAAGGTCGTCCCGTGCCCAATGTGCACAAAAAAAATTAAAAAGAATTTACAAAACTTTGAGTGATAGAAAACCAAAAAACAAAAAAAAAAACGAAAAATAAGAAATGAGCACCAGTGCCTCATATTATTTGGAAAATATGCACCAACGCCCCTTCTTCGTCAGAAAAATGGCCGAAAACTGATCAGATGGGTATGAGTGCAACGTTCTGAATGTTTGGAGATTTTAGAAATAAGTCTTGAAAATATGGAGGGTATTGATTTCTATTTTCTAAACTACGAGGGTACTGATGCTATTTGGGCCAAGAATTTATAAACTTATTATTCTCTTCTTTTATTTCAAATATTAGATTATACTACCTCCGTCCCAGAGTATTTGTCCACTTTCATTTTTACACACCATCCAATACACTTCTTTAATCCATTTTATCTTGTAATTTGTATATTAAAAAATTATAGAAATTATATATTAATAATCTATATGTCAAGACACATCAAACAAGATCACACATTGCTATATTTAGGCTTACACATTGAGAGAATTTGATGAGTCAAAGTGCTTAGATGAACAATTCCAAAAGTTAAAACTGGACGAATACTCCGGGACGGAGGAAGTACTATATAAAAAATTTCTTGGTCGTGCCACTTGTGCAACTATAAATTTGATTTTTGATTGAGTTAATTTATAGGTGATTATAGCCGCACCCCTACGAAAACATTAAATTCACCCCACATACAAATTTTACACCACTATTTTCTAAACTATTTTAAATATTGTGTTTCAGGTCGTTATATATTCTAAATTTTTACTCTTTAACATATTGATCGATAAATTTTGTTGTGAGTTGTGACGTTTAAAAAAAATAAAGACCCTTGGTGAATAGTTTTATATTGTCCGCCAGCCGATTAATTAATTTAATTTGTTGTTTTCCGGACTTGAAATCCACCAAACCAAATTTCAACTCTTTTGGGTATCAGTGCAACTAATTTATTACTACTTCGTTTAAAGCATAAAATAAAACTAAGAAATAAAATAAAAATAAAATAATTACCAGATTTGATATCCCTCTGCTGCATCTACAGTGCTAAAAAGTTGAATTTCCGACCACAAATTTCTTTCTCCTTTATTTTTTTCTCCTTCCACTCTGTCGTCTTCCTCTGTCCCAATCTTATTTACAAAAGAAAACAAATTACAGTAAAGAAAAAGAGAAGAAAAGAAAAATCTTTAACTTTTTTTTCCCATTCTCTTCTTCTTCTTCTTCTTGACGTTTGCAATTTGATCGAGAAACCCATTGGGCTTTTGGAGTTTTTATTGATATTATTGCAAGATTGTAAGTTATTAAGCTGCAGTAAATTAATCTCCCCATTTTCTTGAGTTTTTGGTTAAAAATCGTATCTTTATTCTCATGTCTGCAGAGATTTCTTTCAATTTTAATGGGTATTTCTTTTCTTGTGAAAATTGGAAGAAATTATTGTTATTATTTTAAAATCATTTCCAGAAGAAGTGATAATGGAGGGAGGAAGTTCAGGAGGAGGAGGAACAGTGATATCCCCTGAGGCTCCACCGAGTTACCATGTGGCGCCGAGACACGACACCAATTCCTCTTTGGTCCCAGTGGGAATGTCTTCTTCGTCGTCACCGCCGGCAGCAGCGGCCCACTTAGGCCCATCTACTGTCGGCAATGCTGGGCCTTTTGGGAGCTCTGAGAAGAAGAAGCGTGGCAGGCCCAGGAAGTATGGCCCAGACGGCGCTTCCCTTTCGCCCGCCGGCGGCGGCGGCGGATTCTTCCCTGAGAAAATGTTGAGTGCCCCGCGGCCGGCTTCCGAGAAGAAACACCGGAGCAAGATTGGGGCTGAGAATTTAGGTTAGATCTTCATGAATATTATCTCTGTTTTTGTTTAGATTCAAATTGTTTCTATTTTTTCTGTTTTTTTATTATTTAAATTTAGATTTGAAAGAATGGTTTTTTATTTTATACTCCCTACTATTTAAAAATAATAATAAGAATTTAAGAGTATTTTGATGCAAAATTGAAATGACAATGTTGCTTGTGTAACTTTTAAAGATTATAAATAAGTATTTTGAGACTAGAAACAAAACACAATACATTATAATTGATATTTTTATTTATATTTTTAAAACTTTTTATTTATATTTTTTTAAAAATAACATTCACTCTTTTTTACAAATATTGGACTCTCCGGGGTACCCGAATATTTATTTTATGTTTTGACTTTCTTAGTTAAATAATGAGATTCTATAACTATAAGTTATGATAAAAGTATATTGAACTATGATATGAATTTAATATAATTGGATTTATCATAGAATATAGTTTTGATATACAAACTTTTCTGACATTTATTTATTTAGATCATGTTTAATTTGTGTTCAAAGAGTGTTTGACTAAAAACCAAAACATGAAAAAGTTTTAGGAAAATTGTTAGGTACGTAGGGAGTTTGATATGTTTAATTGAATCTTTTTTAAGTCCACCGAAACTTAGTTCGAATTTTTACTGAAAAATGTTGAATTTTAGTTAGAACAGGTGCATAAGTGGGTGAGTTTTAGTCAAATAGTTTTTTTTTTTGAAAATGGGATGATTTAAACATATTCCTATAAAAAATTAAGAAGAATGAAGACCAAACCTATGATAGTTTTATGTTTTTTTTCTTCATAATGTAGGTGACTGGATTTCATGTACAACTGGTGGAAACTTTATACCCCATGTCATAACTGTTGAAGCTGGTCAGGTATGAATCAAAATCTACCACCATATGTGTGTGCAATTGTTCATAAGAATCCACCAAATTTCACATTAACAAAAAAAGGTTTCATTGTTCCTTGTATAGGATGTGACGATGAAGATTATATCGTTTTCGCAGCAAGGCCCTCGGGCCATATGCATCATCTCCGCCAACGGTTTGATATCCAACGTCACCCTCCGCCAACCCAACTCTTCCGGTGGCACTCTAACTTACGAGGTGTCTGTGACCCGACCCGACCTTCTTCTTCGTGTCTGCTTTGTTAAGAATGCGGTGTTAATTATAATGTGATGTTGTCGTGCAATTTTGACAGGGTCGGTTTGAAATCCTCTCGTTGTCGGGATCCTTCACGCCAACAGAGTTTAGTGGGGCCGGGACGAGCAGGAGCGGAGGGATGAGCATATCTCTCGCGAGTCCCGACGGTCGTGTCGTTGGAGGAATGCTTGCTGGCCTCTTGATAGCTGCCACTCCCGTTCAGGTAACACTAAAGATTAACCGAACCACAAACTTAAGTTTCTGATTGAATGCTCTCCGAAAACGCATGGTTCATTCTCATTCCTCCTTGGAGTCTAACAGAGTCGTCTCTGGGCCTAGTCTGATTAGACATGGGCCTCAAGCCCCAATATTTTTTTTAAAACATTTATTAAACGTACTGTATGTTGATTGGCACAGTTTCGTTGACATTGCGGTGCCACTGCCATTTGTGGCACCTAGAAATGCCTGACTAATAAATTTTCTCTTTCGCAAAATTTAAGGTCGTCGTGGGCAGTTTTCTTCCGAGCAATCAAAACGAGCTTAAGACGCCATCGAAGAAGCCAAAAGCGGAATCTACCAAACCACAACCGGTTTCAAATTCGCAAGTTTCGTCCGTTGATATGACCGCTCATCATCATAACCCCAACCCGGATCCGAGAAACCCAACTGCAATGGCTCAGGTTTATCCCGGGTCCGGATGGGGAGCGATGCCACCAAATGTGGACGATGAATCAAGAAAGGGCACAACCGACATTAACATATCCTTGCATTCGGATTAGTTATTCCCGCGTCATTGTCCGGTCCCACGTGGGCGGGCTTAGGAGCCGTTGGATCACACACTCTTTCTCTCACGTATGTGTGTCTGTGTGAGACAGAGTGTCTGGTTCTAACGGCTTTTGTAATAGTTACTATGTAGTTCTGAATGTTGGATTAGGGGATTGATAAGTTTAATTTGAATTTTATTAGTTTGAACTTTAGAGCTGCTGATTATGTGCGGTTTATTTGCTAAACTGCCACTTTTGGTAATGACATATTTCTAGAGTATTATTATAAATGTTTAGTGCGGAGTATTAAACATCTGAATACATTCTATAAGTAGGGAGTATTATGTAGGTTGTAATATGCATAAATTAATTCTATAATGTGCATATTTTGAATATGTATTTTAAAAAAGGAATTTATATGTTTATCAGCACATTTATTTTCAACATCTTTTAACGGATGAGAAGGGTTGTTTATCGAGCAATGCTAGGTTCACGAACAAAACTGTCACAAGTTTCACAAACTAAGTGTTTCAGATTTAAATTTTCATTTCAAATTTATTTTAGACAACTTTCATTTTTATTGAAATTCACACATAGTAAGCTTGTAAAGTTTGCGATGGTTTTATTTATAAACCAAACATTTCTCTTATTTATCAGTAAAAAAAATGAAAAGATCTTTTTAACAACAAAATAACCATTGTGTAATTATTAAAATTGCCTACATCAATTAAATATGCATGATGCAAAAAAAAGCAATGATGTGAGTATTGTCTATGACTTGTAAATATGTTTATATTACCAGATTTATACGGAGTAATATATTACCCCTATCCAACCAAATTTTCCAGTTGAAAACGATAGAATTAAAAAAAACATAACTTTGATATTATTTTCTAATTTTACTTTTGCTTTATAGTAGAGCAAGTAGAGTAGAACATGATATGATGTATAGACTAATAGTTAGTTAATAGATATATTTTGATAAGTTAATAATTAAATAGGAGAAAATACGAGATTTAAATTGAAAATAAAAATATTTTTTCAGATGAATGAAAAGTGACAGCAAAACTATTTTTTGGGACGGAAGGAGTAAATACTTAAAATAAATAATAAAAATTGAAGTACAAATGCTGTTGGGAGTAAAACTACAACAATGTGTTAACACACATTAAAACCTTACACTAATTGTAACAAAAAAAAACTTACACTAATAATACAAAATACATGCACCAAAAAAATTGCAAAATACATGAGGGCAAAATTGGAAAAGGAAAAGCTAGTTTCACATTACAAAACACATTTTCCTGCCTTGCCTCTTGGCTTGAACTGTAGAAGATTACAACAACTAAGCTTTATCCCTGAGTAAACTTGGGGTCAAGTAGCTTGAACTGAAAATTACAAAAAAAATCATTAATTTCATTGCAAAACACAATCCCTTCTTCACATGGAAAATGCTACTTTAACACCAAGATTGACACCGCCAGACAATCACACACACAGTGAGAGTCATTATTTGTGAACTGGCGGTAGCGTGATCCTCTTCACACAGAACCAATAATGACCATAAACACACACAAGAAAAGGGATAGGTATGGAGGGGTACCCTAAGTGCTAGGACCATCCGCGTGTGCTCAATCATCAACTATGGTCCATACCATCCTAGAAAAAACAATAGAAAAAGCAATGCATCAGTTGTATGGATCAAAGAATGGATTATATTACACACACACACACACACTAAACATGAAAGCATGTGCCCCTAACATACCAGAACATGGAAGTGATGAGGAGAAAGACAAGGTATCCGAGTTTGTATAACCGTATCTTCTTTTCCCAAGGGAGCTGATTGAAAATCTCAGTCACGTCTATCAAGTGGCGACCTTGAGTATAGCTGGTAAAGCGTTAGTAATACATAAAAAAATGAAGATTGCACATTTATATGCTAAGGTTATATACATCAACATGAGTACAAAAAAAAATGAATGTTTTTGCTCTAAGAAAATGTTATTTTTGAGATACTTAAGCCATGTTTGTCGCCTTTAATTGACTTGCTCGGCGTATTAGAAGAATAATCAGAATAAGTAGCTCTCATCTTACTTGGCTGAAATTGATTTTACTAAATGCTTTTTTCCACTAAGGATCCTTTTGGAAAGATGGAAAAGGATTTCTGGAAAATGAGTTGTGAAAAATGAATTCTAGAATATAGGTTCATTTTCTGGTATTTGATTGAAAGTATGGAAAATGAAAAAAAAGAACTAGCTTTTGTTGTCGTAGCATAATAAAAAAGGTGATTTTGATATGAAAAGTAGGGGAATGGTGGAAAATGTCTTCCGCCAAAATAATGGGAAGCCAGAAATCTCCAAATAAGCTTTATTTTCTGTTGAATCATATTTTTTGAAACACCGAAAAATGGGAAAATTGCTTCTGGGTGTCATCCCCCCCCCCCCCAGTGGACCCTAAGTTTCAGCAGATCCAGCCAATCCATCCAAATTCCAAACAATAAACCTTACCAAAGCAAGCCCCCATTTAGTAAGGTTTTTTTGTGGCTAAAATGGCTAAATCTGTTGGTTTTGTTTTCTAAAAAGGAAACTTTGTTAACATTAATTTCAGCCAAACTTTTAAATCAAATGCTACTTACCTTAATTGTATATACATTAACAAGGATAAACAAAAGACTTCTCCTAACAAATTAACAAAAAAATCTACAAAGAATCATAGCATGCGCTCTAGTTGAGGATAATCCCAAGTTTAAACACGTTTTGAACACTACAAGAACATACAACTCCTAGAGTAAAAGGCGTAAAGACATTAATTACATATAAGGAGAGGGAAAAAACTTACACTCTGAAGTTGTAGTACCCATAAGGGATACACAATAGAAACATAACCCAATGGCCTGCTATAAGATGGAGAACACATAACAATCCTTCTGTGATAAAACTGGGCACCAAAACTTTATTTATTCGGGATGCCGAATCATATGGATTGATATAGTCGTACTCGAGGTCTGCCAAGCACATCAGCTGCAAAACCATTCCCAACTGTTATTTTCTTTAAACAAAACATAGGACGAACCCTATAAAATCAGAATCTTGACCACCTTAACCTCAATTAATTGGAACACAGACATCAAAGTTATAGTATCAACAAATGAAGATATTAACACTAAATTTGGCATTGCACAGACCAAAATTTCAGCACCAAACACGCAGCAAGTGATCGATCCTAATAATCTATTCCTTTTAAATGGGATTATTCTTGCAATTATATTGATAATCAAACCTGCTCTCTGGTCTATTCAGCATTCAATAATTAGTTGATTGAGCTATAATTAGGAGGAAACAAAGCTCAGATTCAAAAGCTTCCCCCTTAGGATTAACAATTTCCCTGTTTCTTGATTCCATAACCAATCAAGAAGTATACTTTGCAATATTAGAGCGCAATCGGAGATTCTTGAATCATAAAAAAGACAGCTTTATAGAGAAACTCATCAAAAAAAAGGAATTTTAATTAGGTATTTACCTGGTAGAGGAGGAGACCAAGAATGGCGACGAGAAGGAAGAAGGAAAGAAGCCACGCAAAGAGATCCGCCATGGCCTCTTCCTTCTCTTCTCAGCTCCGCCGCCGCCGCCCCCTTTCTCCGGGTCTTGTCGGTCGGAGTAGTCGCCGCGAAAGATGAAACGTTGTCTGATGATGTCTGTAAATTTTCTCTATTTTCCCACCCATTTATTGAGGGACTAAAACAAAATGACTTTCCAATATAGGACCATATGTTTTTATTTTTCAATGTATGACCTTTGGTCATTATGAAATAGTCATTATTCAAGTAAATGTCCATCATTACTAGTCATTATTCCTCCCACTAGGTCATTATTAAGCCCTATTTAGAAAATAAAAAAGTTTAAGTCCCACATTAAAAAAGTAATTATATTTTATTCCTATTTAATACAAATTTCACTTATATGTTTGGGGTTCGTTTGGATAGCAGAAAATAGGATGCTTTTTATTGGGCTTGTTCACATTAGGAGTGGGCATAAAACTCCTTCCGATAGTCTTGTTTCAAAACATTCCACTTAAATTTTGTACTGTTTTATTTGAGATTCATTTTTTTGTCTCGAACTCATTCTGTCTCAATTTTAAATGGGACATCATCAGAACAACATAAAAGTCTACGGTTCCGTCATGTTTGTCCTGATTTATATACTCTTATAATATGATTATATAAACATATATAAAAATTAATAAATATATAGTTAATATTTTGATATTTAATATTTTTCAAAAACATATACGGAGTACTTAATACTATTGATATTTAATATTTTTGATATTTAATATTGTTCTGTTCTGATTTTTTTGTTGCTGATTTATTGTTCTGTTTGTGAATTGATTTTTGGGTGTTTTTTTGGGGTCGCCCACCTCCTCCGATGTACCTTTGATCTTCATCAATAAAGTTTTGTTTTGTTTTAAAATATTATTTTACTATATAGAATGCTAGGATAGATTTGTGAATATTGTTCCCGCCTAAATGTGTGGGGCCAATTCGGTTTTGGGCGTGAAAAAATGGGTTTGAATAATGGGTAGTGATATCTGTTATGCAATGTAATAAAATTTTATACATATTCAAGAAAGTAAAAGTTGGCGTGTTGCTCAAGGAAAACTTTATGTCAAATTAAATATAATATATAAATTTACAAAATTCAACGATTTAAGTTGGTGCGTGGTTCCATGTAAGCTTTAATTCGAATCAAATTAAATAAATAGATTTGCTAAATCAAAGCATTTAATAGATAAGGTTCATTATCCAATCATATATACCACTTTATTCCCCCAAAACATTTCATAACAATCTCATCCCAAAAATTTCCCTCTTTTTCGAAATATGTTGCAAAGACATCTAAAGAGTATGTGAAATGTCGTTGCAAAGATTGACAATATAATAGTCGCATCACTTAGATGCTTATGTTATGAGTCATTCATATTATTGCATATTTCCCTTTAATATTTGATTATATATTACGGAGTATTATGTTAATTTAATTTTATCATTTTCTTTCATCAATATTTTTTGTATTATTATTTAGTTTAAAATTAGACCGTGCAACGCACGGGTACGAGTCTAGTATTTTTCAAAAACATATACGGAGTACTTAATACTATGGAGTAGGCAATCTTAAACTCCATGTTAGTAATTGACCCAAACCTAGTACTCCCTCCGTCCCTCATAGATTTTTTCAATAGCCCTTTTTCTTTGTCCACAATAGATCTTCTCATTTCATTTTTTAACAATTAAAATACCACAACTACCCCCACTTACTTTATTTATTACACCTCACCCACCTCATTTAATACACTCCACCCATTTTTCATTAAAGGTATTATGGTAAACTTTCACCTTTTTTCAACTCTCATTAAAAACTACCAGAAGTCAAAATGAGAACATCTTAGGGGGACTGAGGAAGTATTTTCCATGTTAAAACCATTTAAAATCTTTACAAGATAATTTAATTATAAAAAATTACTCCGCATTTTTTTTGAAAAACATTTTGTTTGTAGAATCGGGAGCTAGACAGAAGCTGGGAGGAACAAAAGAAAACTCGGCGACGAAGAAGAAAGAAGAAGAACTGCACATCACTTCCTCTATTGACTAAAGAAAGATACATTTTTTCTTGAAATGGCGCGAAATAAGGCATCTTTTTTTCTTAAATTTCGTAGTTCCTTAGTTTTTCTTCGTCTTAATCGCCACTTCCATTCATACTTATGTTTATTACCGATAATTTCTTGAATTGAAACAGGAGGGTTTGGTCTTGATCATTGATGTGGGGCCTTCCATGCACTCTGTTCTTCCTGAAATTGAGAAGGTCTGCGCATTGTTAGTGCAGAAGAAGGTACTTACTTCTTAAGGGTCCCTCATGTTTATGCCTTTTTAGTGTTCCCTCTTAGATAGCTGTTTGGGTAATCTTTTTTGCTCATTTTTGTATGAAGCTGGTTTATAGCAAGCATGATGAAGTGGGGGTCATTTTATTTGGCACTGCAGGTAATTCTCTATTTCTCTCTTCTTTTTTAAAAAAATAAATTAGTTTGCTTTGGTGTTTTAATGGTACCCTTATCTTGGATTTAGCTTGTTTTGGTTATAACCTTAGATAAGAGTGTCTCGTGAGAGAGGATTAGAATAGTTGGGGGGCCTTAGTTTGTTGTTTTTACTGCTGTGTTTTTCGTCTTAGGGTCTATGATGTTAGTATGTGTGCTATTGTGTTTACTTTACTTTATCTATGATTTCTGGGTCGGGGTCTCTTGGAAACAACCTATTTTATGGAATTTTACTGGGTTTGTTGTTATTTTTGTTGACCTTTATCCCGGAATGAGAATCTTTATGTGCAATTGTCTCAGAAACTACAAATGATTTGACAAAAGAAGTGGGTGGATATGAACATGTGACGGTTTTGAGGGGCATCAAAGTTGTTGATGATGACCTTGTTGGGGCTCTTGAACATCTTCCTCGAGGAAGCTGTAATGGTGATTGTATCCTACACACACAGAGATACACAGTTTGTTTTAATCTATTATTCAAGTATGTGTTTGAGACTTGCAACATGGCAGGGAAAGTGAAAAAAATTGCTAATAAAATTGGCTTTTGATAGTTAGTTTCACCCTGGGAAGTGGGAAATCAGATTTGGCTAGAGATTTAACCAACTGCCCCGTCCCCATTTTATCTAATATTTTGACTGTGCACGTCTATCAAGAAAGTGGAAATTGAGATTGTTTCAGAAGAAAGAAAAACAATATCTACCAAAAACTTATTTTCCTGAAAAGGAAAGGGGGTAATTTTGTGACGGGTGAAAAAAAGAATGAAGACAAAAGGTACAAAGGGAGTGAAAGACTTCCTTAAGTTGGCACTAGTATTTGATGTTCGAAAATATTCTGATGCATCTAATGTAGTTTAGTGATCAATGGAATTGTGACTCCGTGGTTTTGAAAACCTTAACATTCTTGTTGAGTTCTTGATGCCATTATTGTTGGGATGGACATGGTGATCAAGAAGTATGCAGAAACCAACAAAGGGAAAAAGCGTCTTTGCCTCATCACAAATGCACTATGCCCAATCAAAGCTCCATATGAAGGAACAAAGGAAGATCAAGTTAGCACGATTGTGGCTCAGCTGAAAGCTCACGGCATGAAAATGGACTCTGTCATTGTTAGAATGAAACAAGATCTGGATGCGAAAAAGAAAATCATGGAAGAAAATGATTTCCTTTTGTCTTTGTTTTCAAATAAATCTTCCTCAAAAACAACATATGTTGAAAGCCCAACATCACTTATGGGTGCAGTAAGGACTCGTAATATAGCTCCTGTCACAACATTTAGAGGTGATTTAGAAATCAGCGCCAAATTGAAGATTAAGGTAAGTTTTGAGATGAGGGGCCCCAAATGATTTCCTTTGTCTGTTACTTACCTTGTTTCTTCATTTGTTATCTCATAGGTATGGGTGTATAAGAAAACAGTGGAAGAGAGATTTCCCACACTGAAAATGTATTCAGATAAAGCACCTCCTACTGATAAGTTTGCAAAACATGAAGTCAAGATCGATTATGAGTACAAACATGCTCAAGACCAAGGTAGAGTTGTTCCACCAGAACAAAGGATCAAAGGCTACCGGTATGGACCTCAAGTAGTTCCCATATCTTCTGCTGAATGGGAGGCTGTGAAGTTCAAACCAGAGAAAGGCGTGAAGTTTCTTGGATTTACAGATGCTTCAAATATAATGCGGTAAAAAAAATAATATCCCCCTTGAGTTGGATTTGCATGGGGTGTCATTTGGGCATATTATTATTATTATAGATTTAAGTCATTTAACGAGACTTTCTTGTCCTTTGTGTTTTCTTTTTTATGTTCCGTCTACCACCCAAAAAAGACACTACTATATGAAAGATGCAAATGTGTTCATAGCTGAACCGGGCAACTCAAAGGCAATTCTTGCTCTCTCTGCTTTGGCAAGGGCAATGAATGATATGAACAGAGTGGCAATTGTGCGCTGCGTGTGGAGACAAGGGCAGGGAAATGTGATTATAGGAGTCCTTACTCCTAATGTGTCTCTCAAAGACAATGTTGTAAGTGTGTGAACATTATATAGTATAAAACCTTTCCTGGACCTACAACCAAAACCCTAAGTCAGTTTCTTGGCATGGTATCAGAGCTTTCCTAAATCCTAACCTTGAGATCATGAGATCAAACCTCAACGCTAAAAAATTAATGTTTACGTGCAAGTCTTGAACAACAACTTTATTGGGCCTACAACCAAAAACTTGAGCTTTTGGTTGAGTTGGTTCCTTGACAAACATGACCTTTTTTAAAAGTACAGTATCATTTTTTAAACATACACACACATGAATGGTTTTGTGGACATTTTTGTTTTGAATTGGATAAACACAGGCGGATTCATTCTACTTCAATGTTCTTCCATTCGCTGAGGATGTAAGGGAGTTTCAATTCCCGTCTTTCAGCAATCTTCCTTCATCAATGCTTCCAAATGCAGAACAACAGGAGGCAGCTGATAATCTTGTAAAAATGCTTAATCTTGCACCATCTGATGCTCAGGAATCATTGATGCCCGAGCTCACTCCTAATCCTATATTACAGGTAGTAGTTGCTCATGAAATAAAAATACTCCTGCTGGTCCTTATTACTCCGTATAAGGTATCTTTTAGAAGAAGTCAAGGTCCCCCTCCCCAAAAGCCTGAACATTGGGACTACAATCTTGGGCTCTTGAGTTCTCTTCTTTGATTCTGACACCCCCTGGTCCAGGGACAAATTATCATTGTACCCTTACGTTAATAAGAATGTACTACGGTAGTAACTTTTGGGAGCAAATGATGAAGTACTTAAAATATCATAGGGGTGTGTAGCCCATGTAGTGTCTCTCTAGCATTAATCCACATGAAAGGTAGCTTCTTTTTCATTGCATGAACCTATTTTGTGTGTTTTACCCAACATATATTTGATAAGTCTATACATTGTTGTCAAATGTTCAGAGGTATTATCATTATCTTGAATTGAAGTCCAAGCATAAAGATGCTGCTGTTCCTCCACTAGATGAATCACTCAGGAGAATAACAGATCCCGATCCCGCACTTCTTTCTCAAAACAACACCGTAATTGAGGAATTCCGGAGGTGTTTTGAACTTAAAGAGAACCCTAAGGTATTTTTTTTTGTATTCGTCAACGGTTCCAGCTCAGTGTTTTTTTATCATGCTATATTTGTGCAGATGAAGAAATCAACGAAAAGATTGTTAAGAGAAAACCCGATTGGATCAGATGAGGGAAGGGGAGGAAGGTTCAGCAAAACTGCTGAGATCCCAACGGTTAATGAAACAGATACAATCGGAGATATAAATCCGGTTCAAGATTTTGAAGTGATGATATCTCGCAGAGATAGCCCGGAATGGGTTAATAAGGCCATTGAGGAAATGAAAAAGAAGATCTTTCATCTGGTGGACAACTCTTTTGAAGGTGACACACATCAGAAAGCATTGGAATGTTTAGCTGCTCTCCGTAATGGTTGCATCCTAGAACAGGTATCCTCTCTCTCTCTCTCTCTCTCTCTCTCTCCCCCAAAACATTAAGGGTGTGTTTGGATTATGGAAAAGATGCAAAGAAAAGTCATTGACAACTTGTGTACAGGAACCAAAGCAGTTCAATGACTTGCTATGCAATCTCTATGAATCCTCCAAAAGAAAAGATATGCAAAGCTTTTGTGATCATCTCATAACTCGTGGAATTGCCTTAATAACCAAGGCAGAAGCCCCAGACAGGTCTGATCATATCCCATACATGTTTTTCATCCTAGTAAAAAAATCATTCATCCATGTTTTACTGCATTGTTTTTGTTTTGCCCCACAGTGACGTTTTGGAGAATGAGGCAAGAAGCTTTATGGTTGAACTTGAGCCGAAAGGAGAGACCATTAAACACGAGCCGAAAGACGCGAAAGATATTATGAGTATATACTTGGGTGGAAAACACTAATAGGAAAAGAAAACCCCCCCTTCACATTTGATTTTGGTTGTTCCATCTTGACACCCATGCTTCGTAATGTAGGCTAGTATTTTGGCAACAAGCTTGTGGTTAGAGAAGAAAAAGGATGAACTTCATTCCTGTGGTTTTTTAAGATCGACCGAATAGTTACTTGAGAGGAGGTAAATATTGCAGGGATGGTTGTTGAGGCCGGAATGGTCATTTTGGTTGGTATTGGATACATGATGGGGATATTAATTTCAAACTTAATTGTTAATTTTGTCTACAATTTACTTCATTTGTTCTCGAAAGCATTTATTTTTTACTATTCAAACGAACAAATTATATATTTTTTTATCCTATGGTTTAAAATTGTTGGTTTAAAAAAAGTTAAAATAATGCAATCAAACTTTTAGCTCTTTCTTCGTCTTGAATACAACTTTTCACTTTTCTTTTAAAAAAATGTAATTACATGATTTATATAATTTACTTTTTTTATACATAATTTTCAACCATACAATTTATTTTTATTAATCATTGTGTTTGGTTTAATTCGGGACAGAAAAAGTAAATTTTTTTATGCTTTTTATTTAAAAATTACACATCAATATTAATAAACTAATCAAAAAATAAGTCTTGTCAAACATACAAAAAAATACCCGCGATATTCTTATATAGGTGAAGGGAGTATACTATTATAATGTATATATCCTCTTCAATTCCATAGGAGAGAACATTATTAGTTGCATCTACCTACGCCATATGGTATATCATTAAACAAAATTTCTGAACCAGAGATGTCACTCAGTTATAGTTATAGTTATAACATCTCTCTGAGAGGATACACTTTCTCGCAAGGGTTTCAAAGTTCAGAAGTGTCCCGGGGAAAATAAATGGGAAGAAAGAAAAATCATTTGCGGACTCCGACCAATTCAATCTCATAAATCAACCATGAGTTTGGCGGTATGTTCTCTCCACCTTCCTGACTCCCATAGCTGCAACAATGCAAATTCAAAACGGTTATTATGACATATCCAAACGATTAGAATTATAAAATGATCATGCGAAACATGGATCCCTTGCATGTACCAAAGACATATCTCACTTTTTATTTGTGAAACTAAGATTATGGCTCAATTTACCTCATTCCAGGTTGGTCCTAAAGGGACCCTAAAGATGAGAGGTTCACACTTTTTCTTTGTCGTTTTAGGAAGTACTTTTTTTCTAGGCCAATATTTGGAACTAGGAAATGGTAGGATAAGGGAGTAAGGAAGAATATGGTTAGTTTATGTTAGAACTTTTTATAATTATGTATTGTGTGTCCTTGAGTAATGGAAATGTTTAGCTAAAAACAGTTCGTACAAATATTGAATGGATTTATTGAGTTTAAATCATGGAGTATTTTTTTTCAATTCCTCATTTTCTACTCTTCTAGATTTCTCATCTATAAGAGAATTGGGAAGTTAAAAAAGATGTATATATACCCTAGTGATGGAGGGATGACAAGTCTCCTTTTGCCACCAACCCGCATACCTATCATTGCAAAAAAAAAAAGAGTAAGATAATTAGATAACATTCGAGTGATACAAACCCACACTAAGTTTACTAAAGAACATGAGCCATTTATATGGTGCAAGTGTTTTCAATGTTCACCTTCAAGACCTATGTTCCACCCCTCTAAAATGTGTTTGTCACCTTCAAAACAATAGAGTGATGAGGATAAGCAAGCAAAAAAAAATGTTTGGAGTTAAATATAAGGTGCAGTTAGCTTCTGATGATGATTGCGCGTACCTAAACGAAATTTGCGTGGGGTATCCCCAACATTGGTGTCAATAACCTGCCCGTTCTCTTTTAGGGTGCCAGTGTAGTAAACTTTGACCTGTGCATGATCGGTTCATTCAATCATCATAGAAGCGAATATGCAGTCAACTAACGCAGTAAAATCCCACAAAAGTAGGGCATGTCTTCTCAACTACTCTAATCCTAGATCTCCAGATATACCTATCTAAGACCATATCCTTGGTAAGATCCTAAACTCGAGTAAAAAAAAATTACCTTTTTTCCTGGAGTAGCAACTTTCGCATCTGCTTCACCCATTGCAAGGTCTTCAATAGTCAACCCATTTGACAAGGTCCTCATTCCACCAGACTCCACCTTCGTACCCGTGTCCAGATCTATGACAACCATTTCATTATCAGGCAAATCCGTTTTGTTTGCTCCTTCATCCACATTTTTGCTCTTCTTTTTCTTCTTTTTTTCCCGCTTCTTTGCAGAGTGGTCTCCATCAAGTATGACGCAATCAGCATCGATACTTCTGCATCCAAAATCATATATTCAGTTGTAAAATTAGTTTTTTATCCAACAAATTAATTTTAAAAATGAAACAAGCTAATAAGGAGTAACGAAAGCAAGAAACCAGGTCTGGGGAAAACATACTGTGCACTAGTTTGCAATGTATTTGCTTTGGTTGTTTCCGGTAAATTCTTGCCAGTATTAGAACCCTCAACATGTTGTATGGCCTTATTGTGAGCATCAGCAGGACTTGAGTCTTTAAATTCATTCCGTTTATCTCCCTTGCTCCCTTTATTCCTCTTCTTTAATTTTGGTCCATCTTCGGATCTCTCTTGAGCGAGGGATTCAGTTTCTTTAGGAACTTCAAGACATTCTTTTGCATCGTCGGTGTTCTTTTTCCGTTTCTTGCTAGGCTTTTCATTCTTTGCTGGCTCAGCATCAGTATTGTCTACATTCTCCACTTTATCATCCTTACTCCTCCCGCCATTTTCTGCCCGTGTCACCTTCCCACTCTTTTCCACACTTTGTGATGGTATTTTCTTTGCAGTTACTTCATCTTCAGAAGTGTTTTCCTCTTCAGACTCAACTACATGGTGTTTCTTCCTAAGCCGTTTGAGTTTGCCTTTCTTTTTTCCTGGACATTTTCCATAAAAGTATGAATGGACCATGTTACTTCTTTTCAGTCTTACCAAAACCCTTTACTGTTGCAGTCAAGAGTAACCAATGGACCATTTAGTAAAAATTGGGGAAGACGCAATGCAGTGAGTTGTTTTAAAAAGGGTTCCTGAGTATATGGTCTGCCACACACCCTCCTCTTGTGGGATTTTATTGAGTTTGTTGTTGTAGTGGTTTCAAAATTCAAATTAGTTGTTTATAATTTATATTCATAGTATTGACTAAGTTTCCACTTCAGATGTTCATCTAGAGATGTTTGGATTTAGTTGTCCACTTTCCAAAATATCTCACATTCAAGTAATGAATGCAAAAAAAGAGCATCAAATTAGTCTGCTCCTTATTGATGACTATCCACTCTTTAGGGACTATTTTTTATGATGATTCCCAATAATTTGTTAATGTGGTGGACAACTGATTTCGGAAGCCACAAAAATTGTAAACGGGCAATTAAATTCAGATGTTAGCTGGTTAAATGTGTAAAATGACGGGATAGGCCAAGAACGTGATTTGAGAAAGCACTTGCTTAAGGGAAATAGTGTAAAATTAGGAAGCACTCTCTAAAAGCTTCTCCACAAAGATTCAAGTCCAAGCTTTTACCAAATGATCTTTTTTAAGCTAATCCGAGGAGCTGTTGACAAATCCCCTGAATTAGCATTTTGAAGTGCTTAAACAACTAATTAAGACAATAAAAATCTTGAAGCTCTCCCATAGACTCTTAAACAAATATGGCCTACAATCATCATCATATGCAAACTAACATCAACATTAATCACCATAAAAGGAGTCAAATTTACGGCTATGCCTTTACCGGGTACATCTCCATCACTTGAAACTGGTGTAGACAGCAGAACCTCCGGCTCTCCGTCATCTATAAAGCTATCCTCATATTCATCTTCATCGCTGCACTGGTTGGACACCTCTGTGTCTGAGAAGGCAATATCCTCCCCAAATGACTCGGTGTCACTGCCCCCTAAATGTGTATGTGAGCTCTTACTCACATAGTAACCAGTCAAGTGGGCACTTCTTGGTCCAAGAACAGAAAAGACAACCTCCCCGTCTTCCTCAAATTCCAAATCCAAATGGCACGACTCGGTCTTCTCGGGCAACAATGCACACAGAAAGAGTGGAGTCTTATTGCCCACATTACACTGAACCAAGCTCTTTGTTCTAGCACTACCGATACCCAACGTCGCCTGCAGGCATTGAACACAAGATGATTGAATTTGTGATAATTTAAATAAAGATTTAATCTTGAGAGAACAAAAGATTCTATTTTTGATCAAATCAGAATGAAACAAAAAAAAAGAATCTTTTGCCATGGAGATAAAATGAAAAAGGGAGATTACTTGAGAAATTCGAAGCCTTCCTCGTGTCCGATCAAATCGATGAGTAACTGGTTTTCCGGGTCTTACTTCGATCCCTAAAATGCATTAAAGATACCAGAAAAAAAAGTAATTCGGATCGGAAAAATACATGAGAAAATTGCAGAAATAAATAAATAAGCACATTAACAAGAATTAAGCCGATGGAGGACTATAAGATACGGAAAATTTCGAGGTATAACTGACCCCAGAAAGACATCTTCTTGAAGAAGGTCGAAGTTGTACAGTGCGGATTTCCTTAAACCCTAGCTTTTTATATGTATTATAGTGCTGGGCAAGGACGACGGGGAATTTCTACACCTTTTCCCGCGCGTTTCAGAATAGTCTCCGGCTGCTTCTCCCCGATTTAACCCAGGCTAGATTAGGGAGTGGGGCTAATTTGTAAACTTATTCTAAAACTTCAATTCTTGAGTTTTAAATTTTGGACTTAAAAAAATGAAGTTAAACTTTGAAAGTGAGAGAATTTAATCTAATTTATAAAAAAAAATCCATTTAGTACACGAAATTAATAGAATTGAAATCTTATAGAATTGGATGGAATTGGATTCTTCAGTTCTAAATTATTTTTTGCACTACTAATTCCAAATTGACATATTTTTGTACTATCAAACAGTAAAATATGAATTGCAGTTCCGTATTCCAATTTTATGATTTGAATTATATGTACCAAATGGAGCTTTAAGGGAAATTTGTCTGATATGTTACCACAATTCTATGCATTTTCCTAAGCTAGTTTTTATTCATTGCTTCCTACGTGTTCGTATACTCTTAAATAAAATACAATTTGTAAATTTGAATTAAAAATAAAAAATAAATGGAATATGAAGTAAAGTTGCTATGTTACCTCACCGATATAAGGAACAAGTAATTTTAAAACTTATGAACCTTCTTGAATAGACATGGATGAACATATTTTAACCTCTATGGTAATTCTTAGACTTTTACTCCTATATTTTATGATGTGTTTGGATTGAGGTAAGTTAAAGATTAAAATGTACCTTGTTTGGGGAAAAAATGGGATAGGTAAGAGTCAAAAATCTAGTTTCTTCTAATTTCTTTCAACACATAGCTTCCAATTCTAGTTTCTTGAAAATACTAATGCTAAACAACGTCAAATGCTCAAACTCGAGCCAAACGAGCAAAAAAAATCCATAATAGATAAATTTTTATTCATAATCTTTAGTTGTGAAATTCTGTTCATATTTTTAAAATGTTCTCCAACTATTTATAAAGTCACGATTTTTTTAACATATTTTTAGAGTAATTGATTTTTTGTTGATGACTTTTGTTAACTTGTAAGAGTTCATAACTTATTATATGGATGAATTTATAAATTTTGTTATATACAAATACACATAATTATAAATACTTCGTAAAAAGGAAAGCATTCTACTCCATAATAAATATATCACCCCAACTAAATGTGACAACAATAATAACAATATTTCTTATTAGTGAAACTAATAATGCATGAAGTTTTTGTATTGTCATCATTGACATTTTATTGATCTATTGATGCAATTCACAAATCCGAATTTATAATAACTATAACTATAGGGAGTATTTTTGAAGGACAATACTAGAACGTCTAGAACACTATGTTCCTTTGAGCTGAAAAATTCAACTTTCAACTTTTTCCAATTCATTTCAATTTCTTCGAACCTCTTCTAATTTTTTCTCAACTTCTTCCAGTTTTTTCTAACGACTTAAAAAATGTATTTATATATGATGAATATTCAATAACATTATATATCTAAATTTATAACATATCACCTCAGACACGGACAATGATGGACTATTTTTTTATCCAAAATTAGAGTTTCCTTAGAACTTTATTTGGATGATCATTTACATGAATAACTTTTTAACACTTAAAATATTCCAACATTTTCAAACTTCTTCTAGTTTCTTCCAACTCTTTCTAGTTTATACAAACTCCTTCCAATTTCTTCCAACATCCAACTCTGAAATTGCAACCCAAAAGAATATAACAGAAATATATATTTTTCACTACTTTGTTTGTGTACAAAAAATGAGTTATTTTAATTATAAAATAAATTTCATAAGTAAATAAATATTTTTTACTCCGGGTGAAAAAGAAGCCTAAAAATATCAAAACCAAAACTGTCTACATGAAAAGGCAAAAGGAGTACGGGAGACTATGATGCTTTTTTCCCACACCGTTTCCCTATAGAAATATAATGCCTTTGAAATAATATAAATAAGGCGGACTTATCTCCTTGAAAGGCATACCTTTCTCGGCCTTTTGGCTAAGATCAAGTGTAGTATCTGTTCTTATCAGTTTAATATCTGATATGTGGGCCATTGGTTCACACGATATTAACTCAATGTTTTAAGGGGGAAGGCCCATCAAAGGCAGCTTGCTGTCTTGGGCCTTCACGTGTCGCCTTGGGCTTGCACTACTTCCTTGGCCCGGCACACCCCATCAAATTAATTTCAAAATTCTTGTTTAAATGAGAAAGCATGTTGGTATTAAATGCGTTTGCCACGTTTCTGTTTGGTTTGAATCGTTGTACTGTACGCAGTATAATTTACTAAAATCATTTACAAAACGGTGGTGGTTGTGACAAGTTGCGATGAATGGGGCTGTCGCCACACTGAGATTCAATTGAGTTGTTGTTTGTAATTGTATTAGTTGTGTTATTACTATTATTATCACTATTATTATTATGGAATAGAAGAATTGATGTGATCGCATAATTTATTTAAAAATTCATTTAGTTCTCAAAATAATATTTCCTTTGTCTAGATTTAATCTTTCTATTTGATAAACTTTGTAAACTTTGATCTAGATATGCAAAAAAAAGACATTATGTTTCGATATAGATGTAGCTTCAACAGTTTTTCTTTGGAAATGTAGTTTTAAAATATACCTATGTGTATATTTCAATATTAATGGTCAGAGTATTATATTGGAGGTCGTGAAAACTCAACTGGGAAGATTAAATCCGGACAGAGAATATACACTTATATATAAATAGAGTTATCAATAGCCAAAATGTTATATAGAAAAAAGATACTCCCTTATGAGATAGATGAGACCATGAATAGTCAAATAAGAAAAAAAGATATAAGATACGGAGTATGTGAAATTTTTATTTTAAACGAACCTTGAAAAAAGAACAAATATTTTTAGGACAAAGAGAATTCAAGGTTGGAAGCAAATTACAGTTAACAAATAGAATTCTTATTTATTCGAAATTGGGTTTAATAATATTCAGATAGTATGTAGTACATGGTTTAGATATTATTTTTAAAATAAAATAATAATTATTTTTCTTTAGATCATTTTTGTAAGATACATGACACAACACAACTTATAATCACCCAAATAATTGTGCACTCAATTTTCTCCCGAGAAATATTATGTAACTGAGCTCGTAAATGTGTATGGAATATTTTGTTATCTTGTAACGATTGTCTTATACCTTTATTTAGGGGATTTTGTTTAAAAATTTAATGATTTAGTTATTATTTTTGAAGAAATAAAAAAGAGCTAATTTTAGTATTTTCTAAATCATTTTTTTTGCATAACTAGAGAAAAAAATGCAAATCATGTGAAATGAGTGATATATATAATACTCCATCCGTCCCAAAAAGTTTGTTACGTTAAGAAAAAACTGCGTCCCGTAAAATCCGTTATATTTCTATTAAAAAACCACTTTTACCCCTTACTTTTTCATACCCTACCTATCGCATCATACCTTTTTTCTAATAATCTACCCATCACATCAAGGGTATTTTTGGAAAGTCAATACCAAAATATCCCTCCCTTATTTTCCCAAAAAGTCAAATTGTCCCATTCTTTTTGGGGCGGAGGGAGTACAAAGCTAACATTGTTGGTCTCAGGTCTATCGTTATTATTTTGATATGTAAAATGTGATGTATTATTATTATTTATGTTTATTTAAAATATTCTTAGATTATTTATTTCCATGATTTTCTTTTAATTAAAATTGCTAAAAAGTATTGTTTCATTTGTCTCATTTATTTGTTACATGTGTTATAGGCATGAAAATTAAGAAACATGAAATTTATGAGATTCATATTCAATTTTGAAATTTAAAAATAAAATGGAAGTTTAAGTCACACAAATGTGCCTAATATGATCTGGGACAAAAATACAATAACATATACGAAAATAAAAAGGGATACAAAAACCAAGAAAGAAGAGTATAAGTTAGATAAAATAAAATATGAAATTCATTAAATCAATAACTACTCCTTTCACCATACATTCTTTATCTACTAATTAATTTTTTTTATAAAAACTTTTTTTATCAAAACCTAATTTGTTTTTCAAATGAGAAGAGTAGAAAATTTTTTCGAAGGATAATTCTAAGAAGTATATTCTCCACTACTTCGTATTATATAAAAAAAATGAGTTATTTAATAACCAGAAAATTTCATACGTAAGAGTAATTAAAATAAAGAAGCTTAAAGATATGTAAAGGGGAAAGGAGCACGCGAGACCATAGGGCCTTTTTCCCACACCGTTTAACTATGGAAATATAATGCTTTTGAGATAGTATAAATAAAGCGGCCTTTCCACTTCTTAAACAATACCTTTCTCGGCCTTTTGGCTAAGATCAAGTGTAGTATCTGTTCTTTTCAGTTTAATATCTGATATGTGGGTCATTGGCCCACACGATTTTAACACTATTTTTTAAGGGGGAAGGCCCGTTAAAGTAGCTTGCTACTTGGGGTTTCGTGTGTCGCCTTGGGCTTGCTCTACTTCCTTGGCCCGGCACGCTCTACCAAATTTAAATAAAAATTTTAATTTATCAACATTTTGAATGTAAAAGATCGCTTGTAAGGCAGTTAATTTAATTCGGGGTGATGAAGACGTTAATATCTCATCAAAGTAAGATAATCTATGAAGCAGCGTTGAAGAACTTATGAACAAAAAACAAAAATTACGATTTCAAAGTTAAACTAATCTCATACTACCTATGTTCCTAAGTATTTGTTTAGTCCAATTTTGATTTTTTCGGTAGCTGTTTTTAACCTATGATTTATGATAATAAAATATATAATGTATATTAATTAGATAAAATAATATTTTGAAAATATCTGATATAGTAAATCTAATAAAACTATTTTTGTATCAATATCTAATATCATTTTTATTTAATTTGAAGTCAAAGTTTATTACTTTTGGCTGAAAAAAGTCAAAAGTGGACAAATACTCAGGGACGGAGGAAGTAAATATTTTCAGGGTCCGTTTGGTATAAGAAATTGGTGGAATTGGAATTTAAATTCCATAGAATCAATTCCATAGAATTGAATTCTGTTAATTTCAATTCATTTTTTGCATTATTAATTCCAAATCCACATAGTTTTTGTGCTACCAAATACCAGAATTGGAATTGAAGTCTTCAATTCTAATTCTATAATTTGAATTCCATGTACCAAACGAGGCCTGAGATCAAATTTCTAATATGGAGAAATGTATAAATTTTGTTATAACCAAATACACAATAAGGCTATATGTAACACATCACATAAAACTCCCGTGATCCTACATGGCTTTGGCCACTTTGGCATGAAAGAGATGGAACACCATCCCTAGTATTGCGTGACTGGTTCGATTGAGTTGCACCGTGACCCGGCATGCTCACGGAGAAAGGCAGCAAATATGTTTTAATTCTTTTATTTTATACTCTATATTATAAAATCATTACATTTTGGTTTTCTATGGTAACATCTATTTTTGCTTGTAACTTTTTGTACGTAAATCATTACTTGATTAATATCATGTTTTCGGAAATCTTTTCACAAGATCTATTGATAAGATGGTAGATTAGTTCTATTATTTATTAATTAGTAGTCATTTAAAATTCAATAGTTAATCTTGTTTAGGATTTTAGTATGGGCCCGAGCCCATTGGGTTAATTAGGGTGTTCTCCCACCCTATCGTCTTTATATATTGTAATCAATCCTTTTTTACCAGAAGCAATCAATAAAGAATAATCAAGATTTCTCTTAGTCTCTCTTCTCTCTTTTCTTGGAGTTCGGAAATGCTCGGAGATTTCCTTCTCTCTTTGCCTCCCCTTTCTTGGAGCCCGAAGACGCTCGAAGGTCTTCCATATCCTGTAACACCCTAATCCGTCCATGTCTGCAGCTCCTTTCGGACTAAATCATTAACTTGGTAATCGTATAATTTAAAACATTTCAAACAACTTTATTCATCATAAATAAAATTTCATACATGACTAATAAAAATACGGAGTGTTTAAATAAAATGCAGAAGTGACTTTAAAATATGTCTCATAACAACATAATTATTTATTTCATTCAATAATCCACCACGACTGTCTCGCCCCTTCCGCTTCCAGAAATATGTCAATCATTCATTCTGTCTACTTGTGTGTAGCAAATAAAATACACTACACGCTCAGCGATGAAGCTGAGTAAGCATATCTAAAGCGTCGAACATCCACATAAATTGAATCTCAATTCATAATCAAGCATTTGATATCATGCACACAATATATGATTCAAACATTCATGATATTCTCAATATTTTATTCTAAATCATTTGATATTCAATATCTCAATAATGCTCTTAAATTATTTTTAATCTAAGGTCACATCATTTATAATCAGCTCTTAGCTATTCATAGTCTAAGACAATATTTCTAACCAGACCCTTAAACTAAAAATAGTTTAATGCAGAACACAAGAATCGATAATCCACCCTATGAGTCACGTGGATTACGTACCAAACCGAACAATGATTTGTCGGGTGGGTGATATCCAGTCTGGATCCCGTACGTACGTTTTAACCCCGAATTATGAATTGGTCAAGGAGGTATATCTTAGAATTTTTCTAGATATCCTTAATAATCATCATCAATATACAAGTGGGTATATCTTAGAGTTCTTCTAAATATCTTTAATAAGATACATCGTTTTCATGATCACCATTATATTCATTTTTAATCATGATTTAATCATAAATAATCATTCTAATCAGTAGGTTTATCATTCATAATTGGCCAGAATAATTAATCCATCATAATGATCATTCAACATAACATTTAATAACAATTAACGGCCTAGTCTCGAGTGTTAACACCTGAACTTACCGTCATGCATCACATAAGGTTTTATGTGTCAAAAACATAATTATATTGTTCATAATTAATTAGTATCAAACATAGGATTTTAGGGCTCAAAAATAATATTTTCAGAAGTATTTTCGGAGCATTCAGGTCGGGGGATCGATCCAGCTTGGAGGATCGATCCTCCGTAGAAAAACTACTCCAGAGGATCGATCCAGGGGAGATGATCGATCCTCCCTGTGTATTTTCAGCAATTGTTCATCGTCTTCTACCTCGCGATTCCAATTTCGAAAATTCCATTTTTGGTTTCCAAACTTCAATCAAACTATATAGAAATGTTCTTCAAGGTTCATGGATCATTTTGGTATCATTAATTCATAGTTTTAACATCAAATTCAAGGTTTATGATTTTTAGTTTTTCA